GAAAAAAAATCATCATCCTCGAATCTGTCAAAGCATTTCAAGCAACAAGTTTCGATGGAAATAATATTTAATAAGGATTAAAAGCACATAACCAGCAATTCTGGTGTGATGGATATATACCAGGGAAAAAAATTATCTCATCAAAGAACCAAGGAAGAGTAAACATAGAAGTTAGAACTTGACATTAACCTGGAAATGACGTTTTGAAAAATTCTAAAAATTTTATATGCAAATTTAACATGTTGAGTCATGCCTAATATGTGTGCTCAACATGAATTAGTAAAAAAAATGACCACTTTTTTAAAGTGTTCATGCCTCAACCGAGAGTTGAGATGACTCGTGAAAAATTTGCATAATCTTAGTGGATGACATACAACAATATCAAACCCTTGCCCCTTTTGTTTTTCACATCTCGGATATTAAACTATCGTTTAGATTGCTGCAAAATTTCTTGGAACAGAAAACTCCAGAATGTCATTCCTAAGAAAGTGATCAGACATGGGAATTTTTCACTCGTCATGCAACATAAACAAATGCTAACAGATCAGGAAAACTTAAAAGCAAGCAAAGAACATAATGAGGACAATTAACGATTTTACTCTAAGAATCAGAGTTTGCAATGTTACCACTCAAAAGATCAGTATTAGCCAATTCTCTGGCATGACATGCCCAAGCAGCACCCAAGATAACTAGAAACAAGATCCCCATTCTCCTTTCCATGATGCCTGGAACAACCACAGAGTGCTAAGTCAACTTTCAATCAGGGAAGAAAAAAACACTTAATGAAAATTTAAGGGAAATTACAAGATAAAACATAAAAACAGAGGTAACAACTTCCTGACATGTATATATTGAACTTCGATGACATTCAAGGTGTACAGGATAACCGAAAACCATATCACAATATCATTCCGACGATGTGGTGTAAAGATCGAATCACCAACACAATCCTATTATATGAATAACCTATAGATTTCATGTCCAACCCCTCAAGAGTTCACAAGCCTACCCTGAGAACGTACGAGATGAGACTACTTGACCTAATCTATCTCATCAGGTCATCATTATAGAACTTTGTCCAACTATGAAATCAATATGCAGTTCAATAGGTAGGTACGGCATATTGTAAAGTGAGTTGATAAAATCAAATAAAGCAAGTACCTGCCAAAAATAAAAGAAGCTCAAGTTTCCTATAATCAATCAGCAACAGATTTCAGAGTTTAACTAAGAAGCAGGCTAGAACTGTTGAGAGCTAGGTCAACAGTATTGTCAATATAGGTAGAGCAGTCACAAGTATGACTGAACTATGATTTATTAACATAATAATCAATTAATTTATCAATCAAGCGTGCAGACAACGGTAACTGATAGGGTAGTAGTATTAATTTTGGGGCTAATAACACATGAAGCCGATCAGCAAAAGGAATTGATGTCAGGTGAACAAGATTCGCACAAGTCAACCATAACCATACAAGCATGAAGCCAACCAAAAAATAACGCGCAAATATAAATAAGATCGAATTGGAATTAAATTACAAGGGAAAAATATAAGGGGGCATGGAAATTCATAAACTTGAGCATCAGAATTGTAAGCCAGGGATAAAGTTCCTATTTTTGGGCAGATTTTCCTGGGAAACAAACCAAGCTAAAACTTAGAACACAAGAGAAAAGGGTTACCTCTATTAAAAGATGAGATACGGAAGCGGAAGAGAAAACCACCTGGATTCAAAGAGAAGTGAAGAAAATAAGAAGGCAGGGGAAAGAGACTATTTTCTCTTTGAAAGTTTGTTCCTTCACCTGCCTGCCGTGAAGGAGATAGAGTTCGCTACTGTGCGGGAAGGCCCACAGTAGTAGTATTAATAGGTCTCATCATATGGCCACGTGGCACTATCAAGAAGCGGGATTGACTCTGACAATAATTGGGAAAAAAAAAAGGAAGGTAATTATAGAGCAAATATCTGGGTTTATCCGAATGTGCAGGCAGGATTGGATTATTCATGGGGAAGCTTCATCTGGTACGAAAGAAAGAGCTGGAAGATCGACAAGGCAAGGCATCGATTCAAATGGGATTTTTTTTTTTATAAAAAAAAGTAATCAATAAAAATATAAAACAATTTCGTTGAGATAATAATCTGAGAATGATTTTCTCCCCTTTGTCTTGAGTTCTGATCCTGATTTTGTGGGGCATTGAATCTTATCTTCCAGTTAGTTGAGTTTGAATTTAAATTATTTTTATAGATAAGAAACAGATTGAACATATCGCAAAAAAAAAAAAAAGAAGAAGAAACTGATTAGGATGGAAAAGCCAAAAAAATAGCTAAAAAACTGTTAGATTAGTATCCACAACTGGTTGACTAGCAGGCGGTTGGTGTGCGCGTGTGTTTCTGTTTTGAAGCAATAATAATCTAATATTGGATTTTTTTTAGCTGAAAATTTAATAGGAAAATTTTTTTAAAAATGGCCATTAAATTTTAAAATTTTAAATCAGGAATTACTAAAAAAATGTTTTGTTATTTACCTTTTGAATATAGACATTTTCTTTATGAGTATAGTAATCAATAATAATTTAAACTTTTAAAATGTAATAGTCTTTTTTTTGGGATTTTTCCGATCTAATATTGGATATTATCAGCATACATTCAAGCATTAAACTTTGTGAGTGTGAGAAAAAAAAGCCAAAAAAAAAAAAAATTGTAGCGTTAATAAATACTAGTTTTGGCCAAATAAATAAATAAATACTAGTTGCATAACATACTAAAAATTAATCTTTTGGGCCATCAACATGTTAAAAAAACCATTTAATCTAAATCACCATATTTATTACTCTTCCGACCCTTAATATAAGATTTATTTAACTAATTTGATTAGATTAAGAAAATTAGTTAATTATAAAAAATATGACATATTTTTTTAAAAATACTATAACTATCTTTCTTAATATCTTCCTTTCTTCACTTATTTGATTATGGTTGAAGGAATATCCATATAGCTAATTTAGGAAAAATTGATAAATATAATAAATAAGTTTTATAGAAATATGTCTTATATTTAGAACCAAAATTAACTTAACAATTAGGTCTTATATTAAAGAATAAAGAGGGGAAGAGTATTCAGCTAATACTAATAAGTTCAGTTTAGAAAGATCAAACTTCCTATGCTACCCTCAAGAGCCAAGACGTCTCTCACTTGACATAACAGGGAAATTATATAAAATAAAAATACAGATTCTGATTAGTCCATATTTGCATAATCCAACTTGAACCTTAAGTGGATCCTAATAATATCCGTGTATAATAATAATAATAATAATAATAATAATAATAATAATAATACAAAATCCATGCAAAGTTGTTGTTTGCAAATATACAAATGAAAAGTGCAAAATAAATAGTAGAATTTTCTGGGGAAAAAGATAAATAGTGGAAGTTTTTAAATAAGAAAAAATGAAAGAGAATTATTAGGGTTGTAGATTGACGCGCAGCAACAGACCATTGTAATGTTTTTTTTTTTTTTAACATTTTAATTTTAAAATACTTAAAATATAAAATAAAAACACTGGAAAGCATTAACAATAACAAATTGGAGAGAATTGTGCGTTTCACCTACTAGTCCTTACCTATATTGGTAGTTCCATCAAATGGAAGCTACCAGTTGCCTAACTATGTAGCTCTGGGTTAAGAAGAATGGAAGACGTTGAAAATTAATTTTTTGCCAAGATCAAAAGTCAATTTTAATTTTTTTATGTAAATATTTGATATATAATATGATTAACTAATATAAATTTAAACATTTTCGTTTTAATTTTATCTTTGTATAAAGGGTGAGGCAGAGCGGTACGGACTGCACGATTTTAAATCAGATCTATATCATCATTAAATTTCACTTCTCTATATTAGTCACTATAACTAATTTATCATAATAAAAAAATAATAGTTAATTCATTATTTTTTTAAGTCTGTCTCAAATTGATACATTTTTTTTAACTTTATTCATATTAAATGAAATTGTGAAAGAGATATAGAAAAGATACAAAGAATCACATGCTAGTGTCTAATTACCTTTCCAGTGACTCATACTGCATACTAAGAAATTTTTATATACTTGTATTAAAAAAACAAACATTTTTATATAAGTGACTTATGTCAACCGAAGAAATTACGGCCTTGTTTTTTTTTTTTTTTTGAAAATAGTTTTTTGTTTACAAAAACAAAAAATAAAAAAATAAAAAACTTTGTCTGGCTATCTGCTTTTAGATAAGTGTTTTAACCCAAAAAAAATATGTTTTTAAAAACTTAAAAACCAAAATAATTTTTAGTTGTTTTCTTGTTTTTTGTTTTTACATTTTTTTTGTTTGAAAAAATTGAAAAATTCTTTAGGGATTTGAGTTCTCATTGAAACTTCCCTTTTTGGTCTGAGTATGTTTGTTTTCAAATGTAATTTTTTAGAATAATTATTCAAACAATTTTTTTTTTTCAAAACTTGTTTTCAAAAACAATTTTATAAATTGTTTTGAAGGGGGGGAAAAAACCAAACAGGCCTGCATTACATTTCAGCATCTTCAATTTCTTTCATGTCCCACTCACCCATGCGAACCAATCACATTGTAGTGAAGGATCAATCATCAATATACAAATCAAGGCTATCCGTTGAGCATTAGTTTTTCCATGAACAGAGTTAGCATTTTACAAAACCACCTATTACTATAAAATAGCCCGTCATAAATTTTTCCTTTTCAAGTATCCAAATGAATGTTAACGTCAAAACATTGTCCTCAAGATTTTAATAAGGCAACTCAAGGGCTTCACTCTTCCTTTTTCTTCACTGCAGAGGAACCAAATCCTCCCAAACTCAGAAAACGGTAAAATCAGAATACAGTAGACCAACAATTCAATAGAATCATCAAAAAGAAAAAAAATCAGCACAAGAAACTATGCGAAAACAAAGAGGTAACATGCTTAGATACAAACAAGGACCAACCCAAATAACTTTAAAAACAGAGATTCAAGTGAAGTAATCAGAATAGGTGTGGAAGAGATGTGTACTGGACACAACTGAGAGAAGAAATTAGTCTCACTCGTGTTACTTGTTAGTTCTAGATGAAGCTGAAACATCGATATGCACATGATCCAATCACCTTAAATTCATAGTTGGCTTCTTCTTCTTTTTCTTCTGCTGTTTTGCCAAAAGAAGAGAGAATCTGGCAAATCCAAATTTCTTCCTCTTTGCAGCAGATTGCTTCTGCACACTCTCTTCCTTGTCAACTTTTCCCCCACTATCTGGATCATCATCTTGTTTCCCAAGCATCTGACCCAGAGACACCTTTCGTTTCACTGAGCTTCTTCCCTCAACCACGCCAGCTTCATAGTCCTCAGGCACAAGCAGCTTCCTGCTCAGAATTTGTCCTATTGATAGGGTTGGCTTTAGAACTGGTTTGATTTCATCATTCACAAGATTCAATCCATTCACATCAAGTAACCGAGATTCTCTCCGGTAAGATGGGTACGCATTTTTGAACTTGGTGGAGTTCTGTATTGAGGACCGCCTTTTGTTACTGTCTGCTCTCCACTTCCTTAATGCCTCTTCAACAGCCAGCTTCCCTCTATTTGCAGCCTCCACCCTTTCCAGAGCTTCTTCCAGTGCTTTCTTGCTGGTTTTAACTTCCTCTGCAGCCTCCTCTACCTTTTTAAGGATATTCATTTTTAACATATTTGCTTCATCAACTTGAAGCATCGCATCCACGACTCTCTTCTGTGATTTTTCCTCAGCTTCTTGAGCTTTCGTCGTGAGATCATGATATTCTTCAAATGACAGAGTTACTCCATCCTGCTTTTGCATAGAATCTCCATTTGACATCCCATAATTTGATAAAGCATTAATTTCAGCTAGGGCCATTGCTTCTGCAGCTCGGGCAGCTTCTTTCATCTTTCGGGCTGCAACCAACCTGGTTTCAGCCGTCCTTATCATAGATTTTGTCTGTTCAATCTCAGACACCGTTCTCAAGACTTCTGCTTTTGCAGCTTCTCCCATTTTCTTGAAATTATCTGCCTCAGAACTCAACCGCTGGAGTTCACTGGCAACATCAAAAGGATCTTCAGCATCCTTTGTCAGTTGTAGTCTTACTTTCATCTGGTTTAATTCATCCTCAAGAGAAGATATCTTGGACGAATTATGAGTTAACCTCTCACGGGTTTTTTCAAGCGAGATTCTTTCCTTCTCCAACTTCTTATTGAGTGAGTCAACAGAAGCTCGAACATCAGCAAGATCAGTTGTAGTTCTTGCTAAATTTAACTTAGCTTGCTTTAGTTCCATCAATATCGAACCTGGGCTAGACGTAGGGAAGGGGCTCCCTTGGTTTTCCTTATCATCTTTCTCCTTGCTGTCTATGGCTTTATCACAAACACTCGTCTCAAGGGCCAAATGCTTAACTTCAGATTCTTCCTTCTGCAACTTCAATCTCAAATCTTCCACACGCCTCTTCGTGCTTTCTAATTCTTTTAACACATCAAGAGTTTCCCTCTCTTTCAAAATCAGTTCTTTATGTAAAACATCTGTCTGCTCCTCTAGCTTCCCAGCATCAGCCTCTTCTGATGCACGCTGGCAAAAGGGGAAATTTTTTTACAATTTTACTCACTCCAAATCCAAATACTTAGCAACAAAATGACTACAGAAATTACTCACAATGTGCTATAAGCAACTCGACACAACAAAATATACAGTACACTCTAACACAATTTTCAGTGGTGCGCCGTATCTGATGCACATTGAACACACGACAGAAAAACAAACAGAACAAAATATATAGTAAACATCATGTTAGGCACAATCAGATTCGGTATTCGAAATATACATGCATTTATTACCCAAAAAAAAAAAATTCCCCCAAGGGTAATTGCGTAGACAGTCATAAAGGCCTAACATTTTGAGCAATGTTAACTCGTGGGAAGCTATACTAGAACGAAGTAGGAAGCTCTGCCTCAATGGTGGAACTGATGCGTGCATGTGAATGAGTGAGTGAGAGAGGGGCAGAAAGACAGAGAGATAGTACCTGAACAAGGGAGAGAGTAGAGTGAGTGGGTTTCCAGTAACCAACACCGCCGAATCGGGTGACGGCCTCCTTCACCGATTCGAAGGGTGCCGATGTATCAATCTCGGCTCTGAAACAATCCTTCTTCTTGTTGGCATCGGCGGCGTCGGAAGCTCCAGCATTGTCCACTTCCATAGTAGCGACGACGAAACCAAACGGAGCCCTAGCTTTCCGGTGTGAAATTTGAACGAGGAAACGGAGAAGGAAGGAAAGGCAGAGAGACGACAATAATAAAAATGGCCTGGTTGTTTGGTGGAGCAGCACCAAGATATACGTTTGAAACTGGAATTCCTGTAATGCCCATGAGGTGGAGGAGAAATTACAGGGTGAAGCAAAGAAAATGGGAGGAGGCAGATTGCCCTCGGCGGAAAAGAAGCCCAGGTGATAGAGGAGTCATTATCAATAACATGCATTGATTTCGAAACTTTCGGGACTTTGTCGTGTCAATGCGGATATTCATGCGTGACTTTGCTCCTGTTTAGTGGAAGGGACACTACCCTTTACCCCACATTACGATGTCGTATTTACAAGGACATGGTATGTTAAAGGCTTGTTTGGAGCTCCATTTAAAAACAGATTCTTAAATAAGTTTAAATAAGTCGAGATAAAACTCTTTTGACATATTTATCTTGTATTCTGTAAATTACGTTTAAAAAATTATTTATAAGCCAATTCAAATAAGCCCTAAAAAGGCTCTGATGTGAATTTTGCCTCCTAAATAATTAATTTAGAGAAATTTAAAAAATTATTTAAGTCAGTTAATTATAACAACTGTTTGTGAATTTTTCAATACTACTATGTTTAATCATATACATTAAAAGTTTTTTTAAAAAAATTAACTTTTATATTAAAAATAAAAAATAATGGAGTAGTATTTGTCGGGACATGAGGAGCGCAAATAATAAACTCATAATAACCAGGAGGCTCCTTCCATATTTAAATAATAAACTCATGATGAAGTGACCGTTCAAATTAAATAAATAAATATTACTTGGTGTTGGTCATTGAAAAAAAAAGTAAATATTAATCTCTCTTAGCTTTTTTATGGGCTCTAAATTTAAAGAAGTATATAGTTTACTTTATAAGTTTTAATTTAGGTCTGTCTTAATATTTAATTTTTCTTCAAATATGCTTTTAATTATTTGTTCTCTCTTTTGTCATCCACTTTCTCATCAAATTTTTTCATTTATTTTTTATTTTTTTCTCATTTATTATAAGTGTATATTTGGAAATAAAAACATATTTCTAGCCTATTTAATATTTTAACTAAATTTTTATTGTGTATAAATTAATTATTTAAAACTTATAACAACAACACAGGCAACTACTTATCCCTCCAGCATGACATTGTTTGAACAGGAGGGGCCATATTATATATGACCACAAATCTGAAAAAATTACAAATATTATTTATCATGAGCGGTATAACTTGTCATGTATCAAGTAGTTGCATAGAATGTCATGTATAATCAATAAAACTTTATTCTTCAAGGAAAACTAAAATACTCCTCCGGTCCTTAACATAGGACTCAATTCTTAAGTTGATTTTGATCCTAAATATAAGATCCATTAATTATATTTATCAATTTTCTCTAAATTACCCCTATGTATACTCCCTCAACCATAATCAAGTAGAAGGAGGAGATGGGGTATTAAGAAAGATGATTACGGTGTTTTAGAAAAAATGTGTCACTTTTCTTATAATTAACTAAGTTACATAACTTTCTTAATCTAATTAAATTAGTTAAATGAGTCTTATATTAAGGACCGGAGGAGTATATGGCTTTTAGCAATAATATCATAATGTGCGAGTGTTATAGTCCATGATTATTTGGAGCGGATGACTTTTTTAATTAAAAATTAAAATGATGCTCACATAGAATGGACCTAGTAATCATAGAACCTAATTTACAAGGCCATGATTATGGTCGAACTTTGTCGTACTTGGGCTGGGGATCTAAGCCTGCTCCAACTTTCGTTTTGTAACTTTAATTATCAAGCCCAATCTTATGTGATTTATATATCCTAGTGCTCCTCCTGTGGTCATAGAATATATTAGAAAGAATTACAATCAAGTTTTTAAAAAAATAACTATAAAAAGTTTTTAATAAAAACTTAAGCAACCTGTAATAACAAGTTCAAGAGTAAAAAATGATAACTTTTGAGACTGATTTTGTAATTATTTTATTTTCTTAGGACCTTACTGTAATTTACTTAATATATTATATTACCCCTGATCTTAAATATACAAGTTATTTGGAGATTCAATTTAGTTCTAAATATACTTTAATAATATATTATATTATGTATGATTTGTGAAAAAAGTAACTAATCATGAATTTCAAAAATTACTCAAGTCAAAAACAATAATTTAAAAAAAAAAATCATTAGTGTGGAGAATAATAAATACATAAACAATAATATACGCAAGATACTTCTATTTATGAGAGTCACATTGGTTGATAAAATCATGCTGAGTCACGTTCAAGCAACACCTAGTCTAATTGGGAGTAGCTTCATCCACCATACTACTTCCGGTTCTTAATAGAAGATCTTATTTAAACTTTATTTTTATCTTAAATATAAGACTCCAATCCACTTTGTCTCTCATATTTATGTATTTTTTTAAAGTAATCCTTCTGGCAATAATAATTCTAGCTAATATACTTGATTAATAAGGATATTTTAAGAAAAATAACACATATTTATTATAAATAACTAACTTAACTTCTTTCCTTAATTTTTTTAAATCAGTCAACAAATTTTTATAATTAGGATGGGAAGTAGTATTAATTAATTTCATTTCATTTGGATATGCAAAAGGGTGATGAATGTGATTGATTGACTTTGACTAGTGACAATATTCTTATCCAGAAACAGTTTTTTGAAAATTAAAAAAAAAAAACACAAGATTTGACATATACAAGATGGAAAGCACTAAATAAGAATCAAGTTGAAAGTGGGCTTTATGAGAATCACGAGATTCTTTGGCTCAAAATTCAAACATCTACCTCATTATGTCTTCCTCTACGTGCCCCTCCCCTACGACATCCCATGTTCCTCTCCCATCTTTCTTTGTTTTTTTTTTTTTTTTTTTGACCAGCCCTCCCATCTTTCAGCTCTGCCAGTTATAAACAATTATATTAACATTCATCACAATTTGACATATACAATAGCGAGAAGGAATATACCTGTGTGGACATATATTTATAATCTTTTTTATAAGTCATTTTTAACATATTTTATCATAACAAAAAAAAACTTTAAATTTTATTAATTTTGCTTTAAAATTTAATAACTTTTTAATTTTACCCATATTTAATATATACACTGTCCCAAACAATAACAATCTATATAATAATAAATGAAGGATAAATTAGTATATTATTCTTGCTAAAAGTTTAATGGGGTGATTTGTGAGTATGACAAAAAAAAAAAAACTTCTTTTTCTGCTTTTTAAAAATAAGACAGGAGGAGTGTGTGCACGCATATATGTATTGTTTGTTTATGGAGAGATCAGAAAAATAAGTTTAATAATTAGTTGTGAGAAGGTACGTAGAAAACCATAATTTGTGAACTTTTTTTTTTGGTGCCAACGCATAATTTGTGAATCAAAATAAAAGGCCAGAGATTGATTGAGACTCCCTAACGTAGGAAATTTGAGACTTTTTCAAGTAAACGACCATTTTTGTTAGTGGTTAACTAGAATAAAATGGTTAATTAAAAGTAAGTGGCAAGTAGAAAAATTAATTACTGAGTTAATTATCAAGGAAATCCATACAAAGATGGCAAATTGATTGCGACTCGCTAACGTATGTCCACCATTACACTTAATCAAGGCATTAGGGCATGATTGAGGGTGGCAGTCAATTTAGCCGGGCTATTCTTGAAAAATCTGAGTTTAATTAATCTTTTATATATTCATTTAGAATCTTGATATTAAACATAGAAACAGTTAAAAGATTTGCTTGGTTTTAAATAGAATTAATGTAATTTCTGGTTCCTCAAATTTATTTCCATTTAAAACATTAGTCTTTATAATTTTATATAAATTTGGATCGATCAAAACCTATAATTTAAAATTTGAGAGATTAAAATCAAAATTCATACAAATTTAAAAGACCAAAAATTATATTATCTCTTCTAAATATATAATTAAAGTTGAGGACTTATGAGGCTATGACTCTATGAAAGATCTAGAAAATTTTTTTTGGGGGCATGTGAGAGATCTTAGACTTAATCAACGAAGGTTAGTTTAGCAAAAAAAGTTAATCTTTCATAATAAGACAAATCGATATTCTAATTCCTAGGAGAGATTCTTATATTTAGTACCTGACAATGACATTTAGATTTGAATAAGATTACTTGTGATAAATCTATGGTAAAAATAAAATTTTACGCTCAATTAGAGAGTCCATTGTTAATGGGTTTATTATAAATTTAGGAAACTCCGAGTCAGAGGCGAAAGGAGTTTAATTAATTACAAAATAATTAAGAAAATTAAATCAAATTAATTAACACTTGTCGTCAATATTAGTTTAAGTTAATTAAATGGTCAGAATTTGTTATTTTCCTTAAAATTCAAATTAATTTAAGGGAAAATTAATCTTTTAACTCAAATAATAACATTTCCACATTCCTCAATTCTTTTTCTCATAACGATGTTTCAAATATGGTCTTGCAAGCTCAAAAGCAAACTGAAAGGCTCGGATATAGCTTGTTTGTTGGGATTCAAACCTTTGAACTCTTGCCATATTATTTGACGGGTACACTTTCTACTCAAAACAAAGAAAAGAATTTCCCACTTTGGTCATATATATGTACGTGGATCCGATGAAAAGAATTTCCCACTTTGAAAGACAAACCCCACAAATAGAAAAATGAATGAGGCCCCAAAAAAAAAAAAACAGAAAACGGATGGCAGTGGGACTGGGTTCATTGCTTCTTATACCTTTTTCCCCTCTTGGTGACTTCGTCTTTCTTCTCCGGTTCTCTTTCTTCGGTGACGTGGAGGTGGAGCTGAGTTGGAAGGGATTTTGTTACCCATTCTTGTCACATATGATGACTCAGAATGAGTTAGAAATGACAAGGATAATAATATAAAAAAATAAAAAGAGTAGAGAGCGAATCAAAATCGAGTCAAAAATTCAGGAAATAAGTTGTACCAGAGTCATAATTAAGAGACCAAGTTATAAGTGAGTTAAAAGTTAAGGAACTAAAAATTTTTTTCCCTTAGTTTAACTTAATCTTCATAAGTAGTTTTTTCATAAAAGGGTCAAAATAGTACCACACAAATGCTAATAATTCATTTGGTGAGCCGTAAAATGGCACACAAATTTTTTTAACAATTTTTGACTAGATAATTTGTTGTACAAACTTTGTAAAATTGATATAAAAGTAATAATATACACGTGATAAATATTTTGTTTTACTTATATATAGTTAACTATGCAAGGTTGTCGCGAAAAAAATTATAAACAATTCAAATTAGTGAATCAAATCTTTATTTCAGTAGAATGTTGAAATTAAATTAAATTAAATCAAACTGATTAAATTGGCTTAAATTTAACACATTAAACCCAAAAAACAGCAACATCATCAAGCACGTAACAATGTTAACCCATAAGAGTATGAATTTGCATTCTGCTACTAATGTGAAGACTTCGTTAGTGGAAAATCTATAAAAAAGCGCTGTTTGAATTAGGAGGCATGCTCCAGCCCTAATAAGCTCCTAGAAGCCAACTCATCTAAATTTTTTGATTAAAAAAAACTACATTCTCGACATTTTTTTTAAACATACTGTCAAAAGAATAAATCTTTCCAATATGATGTTAAAAGTCTAATTAAACTACTTAAAAAATGATTATATTAAAAATAACAGTATTAGATTATTAAAAGTATATATAAAATTATCGAAGCCCGTTGGATTTGTGTTTTACTGGCTTGGATGTGGGAGACATCTTGCTTTCACTTGTTCAACAAAATTCAAAATTAAATAAATTCTCATTTATGGATTGACTTAATTTTGATCCAAAATCGAATTGAATTTTTTTATGGCCTGGAAAAAACAAAATTTAAAATTAAATAAATGATCGTTTATGGAGTCCTATATACTAATTCTTCTGCACATATATCCTGATGATGCTATTAATTAATTTTTTTCTGACAAAATACTTCTATTTATGAGAGTCAAATTAGTCGATAAAATCATGCTGAATCACGTTCAAGCAATATCTAGTCTAATTGGGAGTAGCTTCATCTAACATAATTTTTTTTAGATGTACAAAGTTGAAACTCTCTATCTCGTGCAAAGGATTCATTTCATTTGGGCATGCAAAAGGAAGATGAATGTGAGTGATTGACTTTGACTAATGGCAAAATTCTTATCCAAAAACAGTTTTTTCAAAATAAAAAAAAAAACACAAAATTTGGCATATACAAGATGGAAAGCACTAAATAAGAGTCAAGTTGAAAGTGGGGTTTGTGAGGATCATAAGATTCTTTGGCTCAAAATTCAAGCATGTCCTTCATTGTGTCTTCTTTTACGTGCCCCTCCCCTACGACATCCCATGTTCCTCTCCCCTCTTTTATCTCTTCTAGCTATAAACAACTATATATTATTAATCACCACAATTTGACATATACAATAGCGAGGAGGAATATACGTGTGTGGGCATATATTTATAATCCTATTTATAAGTCATTGTTAACATATTTTATCAGAGCAAAAAAATCTTAAAATTTATTAATTTTAATAACTTTTCAATTTTACCCATATTTAATATATACATTCTCCAAAACAATAACAATCCACATAATAGTAAATGAAGGATAAATTAATATATTATTTGTGTCAAAAGTTTAATAAAGTGACTTATAAATATGATAAAAAAAAATTCTCTTTCCGAAATAAAAGCAGAGGAGTGTGCACACACACACACACACATATTTCTTGCTTATGGAGGGATCAGAAAAATAAGTTTAATAACTAGTTGTGAAAAGCTACGTGGAAAATCATAATTTGTGATTTTTTTTTGCCAACGCATAATTTGTGAATCAAAATAAAAGGCCAGAGATTGATTGCCACTCCCTGACGTAGGAAATTTAAGACTTTTTTAGGTAAACGACCATATTTATTAGTGGTTAAAAGTAAGTGGCAAGTAGAAAAATTAATTACTCAGTTAATTAATAAGCAAATCCATACAAATATGGCAAAAGATGGGCATGAGTTGAAAAAGGTGATAGACATTGATGTACAAGGAAGAGCTATTGATGTAAGGGTTGGAATCTTCCAAATGGAGAGAAGCGAACTAGACGGAATCACCGACGGAAGGAATGAGGTAGGGCGGGCGGAAGTGACGGTGGGAGGAGTTGGAGGGTGAAGGTGAGGGAGACGGGAGAGGATAAATATAGAGAAGGTAAGGGTGATGAGGGAAGAGGAGGGGAGAAACATGGTGGTTCTTGGCGCAGAAACACACAACAAAGAAGAAAAATTATTATGTGGAAGGGAGTTTTGGAAAAACAAATGGAGAAGAAGACGACGAACTAGCGACGAGGGCAGAAAAAGTCGGGAACAAAAGATGAGGACGACTTTCTAAAAGAAATTGTTAAATTAAATTACTAAGTAAATACAAATTAAAAAGCTGACAGCTAAGGTTACAGCCAAGATTAAGTTTAATGAAATGGCAGGTTTTTATTTGTCAGACCATAAATGACGTGGTGCTCTTGGAGCACACAAGGATTTCTCATGTCCACCATTACGCTTAATCAAGGCATTGAGGCATGATTGAGGGTGGCAGTCAATTTAACTGGGCTATTCTTGAAAAATCTGAGTTTAATTAATCTTTTATATATTATTTTATAATCTGATGTTAAACATAGAAACAGTTAAAAGATTTGCTTGGTTTTAAATAGAATTAATACAATTTCTAGTCCATCAAGTTTATTTCCGTTTAAAATATTGATCTTTATAATTTAATAAAAATCTAGACTATTTTGTTATTTGAGAGACCAAAAGTTATGATTTGAAATTTGGGAGACCAAAATCAAAATTCTCACAAACTTAAAAGACCAAATTAAATATTATATTAACTCTTCTAAATATATAATTACAGGCAAGGACCTGTGACTCTATGAAAGATCCAGAACATTTTTTTTGGGCATGTGAGAGATCTAGAACATTTATATATGTTAGACTTAATTAACCGGGTTTGATTTAGTGAAAAGAGCGAGTCTCTCACAACGGGACGAATTAATATTCTAATTTCTATTTAGAGAGATTCTCACGTTTAGTACCTAACATTTTAATAGAATGTCTCCAATAAGATGATGGTAAAAATAAAATGTTACACACAATTAGAGAGTCCATGGTTAATGGGTTTGATATAAATTTAGGAAACTCCGAGTCAGAGGGCGAAAGGAGCTTAATTAATTACAAAATAATTAAGAAAATTAAATCAAATTAATTAATATTTGTTGTCAATATTAGTTTGAGTTAATTAAATAGTAAGAATTAGTTACTTTGCTTAAAATTCAAATTAATTTAAGGGAAAAATTAATCTTTTAACTCAAATAATAATATTTCCATGTACATTCCTCAGTTCTTTTTATCATAATGATGTTTCAAATATGGTCTTGCAAGTTCGAAAGCAAACTCAAAGGCTAGGATATAGCTTGTTTTTTTGGGATTGAAACCGTTCAACTCTTGCCATAGTGTTTGATGAGTACACTTTCTACTCAAAACAAAGAAAAAGGGATAGAAGTGGTCACAGTTTTCAGACTAATTTGACCCCAAAAGATGCAACTTTACATCTTTGGTCATATGTACGTGGAATATTTAATTTGTTGTACAACTTCGCAAAATTGATATAAAAGTAATAATATACATGCAATAAACTTTAGGGAAAATCACTAACAGGTCCCACAGAAGGCAATTTATTACTATGAGGTCCCATGAAATGTCAAAATCACTGACAGGTCCCAAAGGACCTCAGAGTAATATTTTCGTTTTGTAAAATGACATTACTACCCCTCATATTCCAGATTCACATTTGCTCTGTCATTACGATTTACAACCTCAGCAGCGACTATTAACAACCTAATGAGAGGGCGTTAACAACCCTAGCAGTATCTGTTAACAACTTACTTTATAGAATTATATAACCTCTACATAAGAGTAAATTATAACCAAATAATATAATACAACAACTTTAACACTAAAATGGGAAGCTTTTTGATATCATTAAGAATTTTAACTAGATCCAATAGGATTATAGTAATATTTTAATGCGAATATCCATTTACAATCTCAACAGCGATTATTAACAACTGAATGAGAGGGCATTAACAACCTAAGCAGTAGCAGTTAACAACTTACTTTATAGAATTATATAACCTCTGCATAAGAGTAAATTATAACCAAATAGTATAATACAACAACTTTAACACTAAAATGGGAAGCTTTTTGATATCATTAAGAATTTTAACTAAATCCAATAGGATTATAGTAATATTTTAATGCGAAGATCCATTTACAATCTCAATAGCGACTATTAACAACCGAATGAGAAGGCATTAACAACCTAAGCAGTATCCGTTAACAACTTACTTTATAGAATTATATAACCTCCGCGTAAGAGTAAATTATAACCAAATAGTATAATACAATAACTTTAACACTAAAATGAGAAACTTTTTGATATCATTAAGAATTTTAACCAAACCCAATAGGATTATAACAACATTTTAATGCGAAAATCCATTTACAACCTCAACAGTAAGTATTAATAACCTAAGGAGAATTGTTAACAACCTTAGCAGTGTCTGTTAACAACTAACTTTATCGAATAATATAACTTTTAACTATAACTAACTAAACTATAACTAAATAGTCTTAAAGTTAATCTTATATAGTTGTTAGAGGTTATATTATCCTATAAAGTCAATTGTTAATAGATACTGTCTAGATTGTCAACAGCTCTCTTTGGGTTATTAATACTCACCATTGAGGTTGTAAATGGATCTTCGCATTAAAATGTTGCTATAATCCTATTGGGTTTAGTTAAAATTCTTAATGATATAAAAAAGCTTCCCATTTTAGTATTAAAGTTGTTGTATTATACTATTTGGTTATAATTTACTCTTATGCGGAGGTTATATATTCTATAAAGTAAGTTGTTAACTGATACTGCTTAGGTTGTTAATGCTTTCTCATTCGGTTGTTAATAGTCACTGTTGAGGTTGTAAATGGATCTTCGCATTAAAATATTACTATAATCCTATTGGATCTAGTTAAAATTCTTAATGATATCAAAAAGCTTCCCATTTTAGTGTTAAAGTTGTTGTATTATATTATTTGGTTATAATTTACTCTTATGTAGAGGTTATATAATTCTATAAAGTAAGTTGTTAACGGATACTGCTATGGTTGTTAACGCCCTCTCATTAGGTTGTTAATAGTCGCTGCTGAGGTTGTAAATCGTAATGACAGAGCAAATGTGAATCTGAAATATGAGGGGCAGTAATGTCATTTTACAAAACGAAAATATTACTCTGAGGTCCCTTGGGACCTGTCAGTGATTTTGACATTTCGTGGGACCTCAGAGTAATAAATTGCCTTCTGTGGGACCTGTTAGTGATTTTCCCTAAATTTTAACATACTATCAAAATGTCAAAAGTCTAATTAGATTCCTGCTTTCCCTTATTAAACAAAATTCAAAAATAAATTATCGTTTATGGAATGGCTTAATTTTGATCCAAAATCGGATTGAATTTTTTATGGCCTGGGAAAAAAAACAAAAATTAAAATTAAATAAATGATAGTTTATGGAGTCCTATGCCAATTCTTCTGCACATATATCCTCATGATGCTATTAATTAATTTTTTCTGACAAAAATGTATAATTAAATAAAAGAGGGTCCAGAAATTCTGTGAATCACATACTCCACAATTCGACCTAATCTTGGTTCTCTCTCTGACAGAGTCTAATTACACAATTATACCCTCACCCACCCCCATGCTCTCTCATTTATTAATCCCATTGAACTTCAAAACCCTAGCACCACAACCCCCCACATACCTCTCACATTTCTGCCATATATAAATGCTCCCCCTGTATATGCATACATGGTCCTCCAAATTCATTTTTAGGCCCCACACTTAATTAACAATATTTATTGCTTTATTCCTCCTAAATGAAAAAACTAGTTAACTATTGCTTTATTCCTCCTAAATGAAAAAAATTAGTTAACTAATTCATATAAATTAAAAGTCTAGTTAATTGGTTATTTATTGAAACTGTATCCTATCTTAGCTTCCTTAAAATACCCACATGATTACATTAGAATTATTGTTGCATTTTATTATTGTTGATGGAATATTGAAGATTTGGGCTATGATAAATACAAGAAGAAAGTTTGATTAAAATTTTGCATTTAGAACTAAAATAAGTCTTTCAACTAGTTCCTATTATTTAGAATCGAATGGAGTATTATACTCTTTAATAAGGCTCTTATTGTTCTTAGAAGTATTCTCTTACTGGCACTAGATACTGTAAAGTATCAAGTAGTGAAATGTTTTTCTCCATAATCTGTAATTTATAATGCATATTTAATGAAAAGGCTACATTGCACTATTTGATAGTCTCTTCATCTTTTATTATAAGAAACAACCATCAAAATTATGCAGTTCACAATGAGTAAGATATATATTTCCAATCATACTTTTGTTTGTAAAGAGATTAGATGAGATATAATGAGTAAAAATTTATTATAAAAAGATAATAAGTAACATCTATTTAATGGAGTCAAGAGTGAAAATAATTTTTTTTATATTTAAAAATATCACTAGAAGAGAGAGGGGGGGGGGAGGAGCAGCTCAGAATACGTGATAATAATAATGAGAAAATAGTTTTCAATTATAGATGGTAACATCCCTTCTTCTTTTTCTTTTTTTTTTGACCGGAGTCGTAACATCCCTTCTTCAAAGTTAGCGAAAACTGTTGTGAATTGATTGATTCTTAATTACTTGTGACAGAAGGGTCCTACCCTACTGGCTACTGGTACATGGTCATTAAGAAGGGGTATATGGGCATATCAGATTCCTGGGACTGTTTGTTTCATGAAGGCCGTAAATTCTTGCAAGAACCTGCCATGTGGATCTGATGTGACTCTGCACGTAAAACATTAGAAACACATTAATTAATTAATTGATTTCTTTTTATGGGACAACATTACATAAAAACGATATTTGGCTAAGGTACAGAATTAAACAAGTCACATATATAGGATTCAAACATTATTGTTCCATCTTTGATTTGAATCCTATATTACACTACTCTTTCTTTATTATAAGATCATTTTAACTAAATTGTGCGGTTTAAAAAAATAGTTAAAATTAATTAAAAACAATTAATATGTAGCAAAGAAATTTTTTTTCCAAATATACCTCTATGTATAAATGGGTAGATGTGAGAGAGTAATAGTGAGATAAATAAAAAAAGAGAATATATTAAATGTATTAAATTAGGGATAAAATAGTTAATAATACATTAAATGTTTAGACAAACTCAAAAAGGATATTATAAAAAAAGACAAACCTATTCAGAAAATTAAATCTTATAATAAGAGACGGAAGGAGTACCTATTATTCAAGCATTGTAAGACGGCAGTAGTTTTCATGATAAGAATATGTCTGTCTATAATGTTTGAGCTCGTGACGTTATTTTCAAGCAATCGACTCTCTCTTTTGAGGCCATTACGTAAAGACATTACCATTTTCCCCCATTAAAAAAAAAAATCCGCATGATAAGACCAAATTTAAGCATTGTCCATGGATATAAAAGAAAGTAACCTCGCTATTTAAGCTATGAAATTTAAACTTATAACTCAAAGAAAACCAAATTGTTTGTTTTCATTAGTTATTATTATAAGACATCTCTAATCACTTTACCGGAATCAAAGATTAAGTCATTAAGTTTATAGAAAATAAAATATATTTTTTATTCTATTCATATTTAAATGGAAAAAGTTTTTAGATGCACTAGTTTTATTATTGATTCTTATAGTTTGATCAAATTTTAATTTTGATATATATATATATATATGTTTTCAAACAATTGGTATTGGTCTTACAGTTTCATAAGGAAATGAGGAAAAAGAGATGGGAGAGAGTTTAATAGAGAAAAAATAAAATATAATACTGCATTTAGTTCTTAATATAAGAACTAGAGTAGATAACTAATAATCTTTAGTAAGAACCCTTTATATATAGTCGATAAAAATATTTTAGAGAAGGATCTTATATTTAAGACTCAACTTAGTTTTCAACTAACATTTATATTAAGGATCCAAGAAAGTACATTAAGTATTTAACCAATGCATGATAAATTTTTTTTTTGGTAGGAGTCAAATTAAATTGACACAAAAACACACACTCACACACACAATACAGGTTTAACCCTATGACCTCATTTCTAATAAGAGGGATTGGTCCCACTAGATTCAAGAGTTTCTAGCACTAATGTATGCTAATCAATGCAAAGACACACAATTAATGGGATAAAAATGAAGGAAAAGAAAAGAGCTATTCCTTGCCCGCGTTAATGTTAGATATGTGCACTTCAAATCCTACATACCACCTCACGTATGAGAGGGTACCCTCTCCAAAATAGGGCACCTATTGGTGAGATGGAACAACTTAGAGCTTTTTGTAGTCTTGGATACCCCTCATTCTCCTACATTGAGTTAAAAGTACACTTTCAGATATATAAAAAATATAACTTATGAAAATACCAATCCTATTCCAAAAATTGTAATACATTATTTTCGATTCTTAATATAAAAATTCATTTGAATTTTATTTTTGTTATAAGTATAAGACCCAATTTATTTTTCTCTCATATTTATCTTTTTTTCTAAAATAGTCCTTATAATAATGATAATTTTGGCCAATACATTTTATTATTAAGGATATTTTAAGAAAAATAGTATCTATTTGTTACAAATAACTAACATAACAAATTTTTAATTTATTCAAATTAGTCAACTAACTCTTATATTAAAGATCAAAATAATATACTCTTCCGATCCTAAATATATAACATATTTTATAGTATATATAAGGATTTTATGTTTAGGATCCGAAGAATATATATATATGGTTTTTAAAAGAGAGTGGGAGTAATAAGAAAGGGAATGGCATCTTCATGTTACAATTATGGTAAGAGAAAATGGCAGACTTTAATGTCCCACGTGGTAACCATGTGACCAGTTTCATTATACCTTTGACTTCTCCACTTTCACTTGGTTATTGCCGTAGATTTAGCGTCCTTCTTTGCCTCTGCCCTTCCATGTGCCCTTGGCCCCAAGTCACCCCTTGTAAATATTATTGTTTTTTAAGGGTCCCCTGTGGGACCCAACAAACACAAGCTCACATACAGACTCAGTTTATAATATAGTATTACTTATACTATAGGCATCGTAAATTGTAAATAAATTACAAAAAGGCTCAAATTTAAATGGTCAAAATTGTTAGGTACGGACACTAATGCCCCATTTGATCTCATTTCTCAATTAAGTTGCATGTCCTTAACTTATTCTCTAAGCCTGCATGTGCCGACGAGTAATCAACGTGTTATTTTTTCCCAAATCTAAGTTCTATAGGCGACTTGAGTTTTAAAAAGAGCATTTACAAAATAAATATTTATAAATTATTTATTAAGATGTTCACATAATTCAAAGTTATATTTTTTTCTTGTAGGTAGGGTGTCGGCAGAATAGCCTTGCCAATTAAATCACTCTTTGTTTGTTCTTTAAGGGTTTTAATTTATTTGATCATGCTAATTCTTAGAAAATATGCTTAAATGTAAACAAAATATATATTGTTATTAATGATTATGTGAAATTATAGGACTGAAATTACTTGATCATAAATGGCAACAAAGGATATCCATTCAAAAGAGTTAATCAAATCATCACTGAAGAATTGATTCATGAGAATACGATGGTTGTACTGTGTGATATTTAGATGTATTATTATTAATTATAATGCTTGTCAATTAATATCTTGAGTTGAAGTTATACGAAATTCTCATTTCTTTTGTGAACTTTTTAATCTTAATTTGAACTATTTATTTGCTCTAAAAAAATTGAATGATTTAATTTTTTGATTAGATGACGAAATTTACTTTTGTTTGTAAACTTAACCAAACGCCACCCAAAAATTTCTATACGCGTAATGACTAACCATCACTTAAATGACGTGTGGTTACTTGAATTATCAAACTCTAGCTTGTTATATTTCCTGTTTTTGAAGTTACAAGTCAATTGATTTTTTAAATTTCAATTTTACCATTAACTTTATCTTTCATTAGTCAAAAAGGAACACTAATAAAATTATGAAGAGTAGGCTGAGTAGCATCCAATGATCATGATAATTATTCTTGCATAATTTATTAAATTATTATCTCCTCATATCATATTAAATGTTGATTAATAATAACAGATAATTTAAAACTCTGTTCAATTGAAAAAAATGGTATGTTCAAGTTAGCAAATAAAAATATTAAAGCTATCAAGCTATCAATATTATAGCCCTTATTTCTTGCCAAATGATATGGGATTTTTTTTTTTTATAATTTTACCAAGCCACTTTGAACCTAGCTATTTTAAGTCGAATCAAGTTAAATCATATGGATATAAAGCTTTATTAGAACCATTTCTTCACACATCCAAATCTAACATCTTAAATCAACCAGCTGGTCGTTACTCTTTACTACTTATTAGACTATAAATGGGTGAAGCACTCTTGGTAGCATTTCATTAAATTTTTCCAAGATAATTATTTTAGTAACAAATTAATTTACTCATTAAGGCAAGGATAACTAATTCATATTTTCTAAGTAGTGATAGTTTATATCCTCTTGTTGGCAAAAAAAGAAAAGAAAAGATAGTTTATATCCTCAATCTTGTAAAAGAAAAAGTTATGTTATTAATTATGAGTGCAAATCTAGCTAAGGAGCGTTAGTTTAATTAATGTGATCCTATATTCAAGCCCTTAATTATGTCTAGTTTTCTTTTTCACAAGTCATTTCAAATTTCAATAGAATTAAGGAGAGACTTAATATTCATTAACTCTGTATTTGAAAATTGATGAGAATTTTAACTTGGCAAGTCATAAAAAAAAGACCTTGAAAATAAAAAAAATCATTAGAAAAATATATGTGTATGCTTTTAAAAAAATAAAAAAATAAACAAAAAATTCAAAGAATGAGCATAGGAGTAACTCTTAACGGAAAATTCAAAGAATGAGCATAGGAGTAACTCAAAGTAATGTATTAAACTACTCCCTCCGTTCCTTATTATAAGAGACAAATAACCAAATTACGTTGATAAAAAAACAGTTAAAATTAGTTGAGGATAATTAATGTGTAAAAAGTATAATATTTTTTCCAACAATACCCCCATTAATAAGGAAAGAGAGTATGAGAGAGAACAATTAAATTATTAAAAGAAAGAGAAGTAGGAGGGAGAGAGAGTATGAGTTGGAGACAAAATAAATAGGGGTAAAATAGAAAATCAATACAAAAAAATAGGGATAACTTTTAAGTGTCTCTTATATATGGAAACATACCATAAGCATCAAATGTCTCTTATAATAAATAATGGAGGGAGTACTTACGAAACACTAATGACTTTTTTTTTCCCCACAACGACTTAAAATAAGGAAAAAATCACAATATAAAAGGAAGAGACGCAAGCAATGTGTGGAACTACAGGTAGAGGTGAGCTTCCATAAAAATCGCCATTCCATCATCTTCTGCTTTCGAAGAAGGAAACGAAACCAAAACCATGTACAGTGAGAAATCGGAGAATGGCCAGAAGACCACTCTGCAAATAAAGCAAGACGACAAGTTCTTCTGCAGGCTTCTCTCCAAAGAGACCTCCATCTCCAACCCTTCTTTCAGAGTCACCCCTGTGGCCGTCCCTTTCCTCTGGGAATCTCACCCTGGCACTCCCAAACACCCCTTCTCTGATCTCTCTCTCCCTCCTCTCACTCCTCCTCCTTCCTACTACTACAACGCCAACAATGCCTCCAACAAACCCATCAACAATAAGAAGTCTTCAAGATCCTATCTTTCTCGCTTCTCGTTTCCAAGATTCAATCTTAGGAAGACCCTTCTTCTCCCTTCTTCGCCATCTTCCTCTCTGTCCTCGTCGTCGTCGTCTTCTTCTTCATCGGACTCCTCCAGGACTGTTGGTTCTAATGGGAGGAGAAGGCGGTTCTTAAGCTGCGATTCTGCTGCTGATTTGTGGGGAAACTCTAACTGTGAAGAACATGATGAAGCTGTTGTTGTTGCAGACTCTAGAAATCCCACTTCCTGCTTTGGATTCCGTCGTTCTGCTAGCTCCAATGGTGGATTTGGAGGATGCTATGGAAGGCAAGCTTAGTGAGGTAATTTAACCTCACCAAACTGAAATTCGGTCCCCCATTGCTAGATTTGTTTACTTTTCATTCTTAAAAAATGGGCAAGTACATGTAATTTTGGACAGAATTATATGTAGTTTTAATAATGTTTGAAAGACACATGTGTAAATAATTTACACGCGTATGAACTAGACATTAGTGGCTCTGATAGAAACGAGCCAGTTTGTGAATTTGTGAGTTTTGAAGAACGGAGTTAAATAAGTTTGATAATGGGAGACCAGACTATCAATATCTGTGTAGTGGTCTGGGATCTGATGAGGCCACTTGGTTTTAATTTTCACTTTCATCTGTAAATCTTTCAAGTTGTGGTCTTCTTATGGTAGAAGGCAATCTGTTTTCTTCCGTAGAATTGAACTGTGAAGTTGGACTCTGTCAACTTTCCTTCTATATCGCAGGTATTCTCAAGTTAGCAACATGTCAAGAACTACAAAATTACGTATTGTCCCTTATCTTGTGGGCTTTCGGCTCAAGTTAGTTTTTTGCTTTGTTTAATTTTGACTTTTTCTGTTTGTGTATTTATTGAGAAGAAGAAACAGGTGGATGATGGTTTGGTAGTATTTAATTTGGCTGATTTTATTGCCAAGTCCTTATCTGGAGGCGATTAAAACTTGCCTACATGTAATGTTGAATTGATATTTCAAGAGCAAAATTGAAACTTTAATTTTGTCAGTTTTCCAAAAAGCTTTCAAGTCTTAAATGCTGACAAAATTTCATGTCGAACAAAGTTTAATCGAGCTTCTTCAAAATAAAGATTTCTACCAGGGTTGCAAGAATATTATTTTCCCATAAACATCACAAGAGTATTTGGATAAAATCAAAATCATAGTCTTAAAAGTATTTTTACGGTATATGAAGTAAATACGTAGAAGAGTTTGTTTTATTTTATGAAAAACTGCTTCTAAAAAACACTTTTAAGTGTTTCCAAACACCCTGTCACTTTTCATTTCAAAACCACTTGACATTAAAGTTATTTATTGAATATTTAAATATCGAGAGATTAAGATAGATGATGTGAGAGTTATATTCTGCCAATTCTAAATATAAGACCCACTTTACAGTGTATATTCTAACACTTTTCTACCGTTAATAACCCAAGCTACTCTTAGATGCCAAAAGAATCTATTGGATCTTTTCATTTCCTTCCATTAAATTTTGAAAGAAAATACATGGATACACTAAAAACCATCTTTTAATCAAATTTCATATTGCACTATGTCTGAATCATTTGGACTTATAATTCTATCTCCTTATTTATTTATTTATTTATTTTTATAATCCTATTTAATAGGATAGATCAGAGACTGGATTTTGGATTAAAAAACCTTGAATGGACCAAATGAAATTTACAAGAATAAAATGCATTCTTAGAGGAAACAATAGAGACCATATTAGGGAAAAAAAACAACAAAGAACAAGGCAACATTTGTCAGAGAAAGCTTTATCTAATTTTTCGGCAGAGAAACTGGCAAGGTCCTATAATGAGATGAATGCGTCCCTGTTACCACATGTCAGTTAGTGAGGACCACCATTTCTCTGTCTCATTGCACAACCCACCTAACCACCGTACTCCTCAACACTAATCCTACATATTACATATTGCATATTACAAGGAATACAATAAAATATCCAAATCTGAAGGCACATCTCCAGTTTTTCCTTTTCATTTATTGAGCTCGATTCTTCATGACAAATATTTTACAGGTTACCTTTTACATGTATCAAAAGTACAAGAAGGAAACAACAAGGATTAGGTCTGGTGAATGGAATCCAATTCCATTTGGACTGTGACGAGTTACCCTGATCAATCAGTAAACGTGATAGTTCATCTTCCTTAATGTAGCTGTTCATTCTACTGTAATGAATTTATTTACTTACAATCACTACCATAGTAATAATAATTTAGTGATGATGCTTTCTGGCATGTTTGTAAACCATAAGCCTTGTATTTCCTATGTGTACTGCCTTTGGATTCTCTCACCTAAAATCAAGAGAATCCAAACTGGAAAGAGTTATTATTGATCCTGGAGTTGCTATCGCACAAGACTTCTTCGTCCATTCTGGTAACTTGATGTATTGCGTTTGCCACATATTTAACATTGCTCTTGGTCACACCTGCCATGCTGCCAGCAATACCGTGGAGTCAGAGACAGTATCTTCTGAAGTTCTGAAACATAAATATTAGAAGGAAATCCTAATTTTGATCCTTACAAAAAGGAACCTTCAATTTGTTCCTTATTCTTTAGAATACAATTAATGCTTCCCTTCCATCTTGCATTTGTGCACAAGAAACCATGAAGCTAAAAGATCACTAAGTCGAACATACCCCACTTACGTGTCACCAGTTAGCCCAAACTTGCCAAAGTTTTCAGAAAATCTCTAGAATCAAGCAGCAGCAACATCACAGGAAGTAGCAAGGGAAAATTTGTGGGCAACAAAGTGATGTAATGGAAGGGACTTAATCGTTGTAAGAAAATGACCAAACCTAGAAACTTGTCAATCAATAGACTATATAAAAACAAAATTACTGGTTACTACAGATTTACTATTCATTTAAATAAGTGTCATTTTTGCCAGACTGTTGCTTTTTGTTTTTTTCATATTACATCTGCATGAGAGGGACTTTTCTGGTTGAGTGAAAAATGTGAGAAAAGAATAGATAATGACAACAATCAAACTCTTATATGTCTTTGGAGCATACCTTACGCGACCATCTGGAGTCATGTAGATATGGAAATCCTTCTCCAGTTGTTTAACCTGATCAGGGGATAATCCTAAAAGGCTGAACATGCCAACCTGCATTTGCAAATATGCCTAGACGTGAACATTATGCACTCAAATAAGATGTTTTCTCAAGGAAAAATAACAGCAAATCCAGAACTAAACACCCAGAACCTGCTTAGTTATATGCTCCCACTTGAGAGAACAATCCAAGTTCTCAAGACTCTCACGCAAGGTAGATCGCATTGTTTGAATCCGATTGGCCATATCCTTCAAACAAGGCACATTGACATAAAAGGGAATCAGAACCATAAGTCAATTTAGAGAAGAAGACAAGGAGAAAACAGAATAGCTTCACTATTACCTTCAACTCTTTCCTCCAAACTGCTTTCATGTCTGGATCATGTAAGATCATTGTAACCAATAATAGACCATGCATGGGGAGGTTGCTATGCATTGCAAGTGAAATCTTCTCCAACTGGCTTTTCATAGCAGCAGATTGCTCTTTATCGGTGCACAAAACACTGTCATAGACAATCATGTAGATCAAGAACAGAAAGGAATATAATAATCAAAAGCATAAAAGATGTAAGAAAAGCATACGTAAATCTTCACAAAACATTGACATTGACCTTCAAGTCATTTATTTGAGCTTGGCCATGGAAATGCATCACGAATCATATGTTAGATGATATGTATCTTACCTAAGACAACCAACTTTGTGCCCAAATAATGCCATAATCTTAGCAAATGATTGAGCACAGCCTATTAAATGTCCGTCTTCAAAAAAAATCCGTAGCGCCTTAGCATCCTTTTCTAGATCCCCACTTGCCAAACCTTGATAAGACATGTCGAAAAAGGGAAAATGATGTTTTGCCTGTAAAATAATTGAAACAAGACCATTATTTAATCTACAGAAATGAGTCATAAAACAATATACCATAGCATATTTATAAACGTCACCTTGAATTCGCATGAGATTTCTCTCCATTGTTCCTCAGTTGGGTCAACACCAGTTGGATTGTGAGCACAGGGATGAAGCAAGAAGAATGAACCATCTGGTGCATTCTGAATTTACCAACACAGGAAAATTTATACAATAAAAGACTTACCCCGGTAGCATGTTTTTATTTAATGCTGTCAACTAATTATGCATTTAATTGTATGGCGGATATACATATATAATTGACCGCATAATAATATTCTTAATGTAATGTAAAACGTGACAAAACGTGACTAACTGCAGTTAAATTCTCATACCTTCACATCATCCATGAGCGCTGAAAAGTCTAAACCTTTTGTATCAGCATGGTAGTAGTGAAACATTTTGACTGGAATTCCAGCCTGTCTCCATATGTTGTGGTGGCTATGCCAAAAGAAAAAGGTCTTGTAGATTAGATATTGGAATTTGAAGGACGAAAGATCAGATTTAAAATTGAACACATAATTGATTCAGGTCTGATGTAAACTAAACATATTAAAATAGTCCAATAGGAACAGGACCTACTTTGACCAGGTTGGATTTGGTAGATAAATTTGTGAATCAGGATAGAAATTCCTCTGGAATTCAGCAAAGAGCCGGCATGCACCCGTTCCAGAAAGAGCTGGAACTCCAGCAAATAAGTCTTCTCTGACAATATGTGAATCATTCCCATATGCCAATTTCACACTCTCCAGAACAAACTTTGAACTGACTGCAGAAGAGCTTAATTCCCTGCCAGAAACTCATATTTGGGATCAAAAGTACTCTTTTCCCTCCTTCTTTTATGGACAGTAAATCATCAGCACTCTTGTTACTAGAATGTCACTCGGGTTTATAAGAGGTAATGCAATAGTTTAAGAAGAAAAACATGATCTTTATGGGGGCAAGTTCTTTTAGGAGTTTACAATGCCATAAAACTGCAATAGCAAGAAAGCTTTTGCTTTCATTTTTTTTTTCAAAAAAAAAAAAAAACAAAGGAATTATTGAGCGCCAAAATTAACCCAGAAAGAAGTATATTTTCATTCTTAGGGAAATTAGATAACCTTCAGCCCAGAAACTTAGCTTCTAACGGATGAAATAGCATGTGGAGTTACATTTTTGAGAGAAATCAATTTTCCATTAGTTGCAGCAATATTGCACTGCTTTTGATTATGTACAGTACAAACTATGGCATGTACATGGAATACAACCATGTTGACTCTGAAGAAAAGCACCAAATTCACATGTACTGACATATCATCAGGTATTAATTTACCTCGCATCCAAGCACTTCAAAAACCTAGAGTTTAATGGGGCCATTAATCAGAGTTATTACTCAGGCAACAGCTCAAACAACATCCCAAAAGAAGACTTTCAGTAGTTCCAAATTCCAATTTTAATGTATGCAGAATAACTTAGCTATGGCAGATACTTGTGCCTAAGATAGACCTGCCTATATACATATAAACTTAGTTGCGGTTGTCTTTTGTTTGACAGGCTTAATGATTTTGTCCAAAGTATTTTCTTAATTTCAAACTAATGACCAAGTCGTACAGCCCACTAAGGGGTTTAAATAACTCCTTCACCGCACATTATGGCTATAACTTGCAATACTGCTTAACGCTATATATTCATCAATCACCAGAATCCCCTTAATCGACTAATCTTAACATCATTCTCTTCATAGTGACACGGTAATTATTATTGCGAAAAAAGATTGAAGGAGGAACACTCACTCGAATTTACATCCCTTAATCTTAGCTTCTGCTTCACGAACAGATTGGAGAACAAAAGGTTTCCCTTCATCATCCCTGTAAGTCCCCTGAAAGCACAAAAATGGACAAGAACCCGAAATAAAATCAATAACCAAATAGAAACTTAACAATGAATTCATGGTGATTAAAGCTTAAGCATTTCCCACCAAAGATGCAAAATCAAGTGAAATGAATAGAGAGATGAGGTTACCACTCCAAGATTGATCTTGTGGGGAAAGGGGTCAGCACGAAAAGCTTCCTTCACCCGAACAATAGGGTCCTTTTCTGCGATTCTCACATGGTCCCACCATCGAAAGCCCCTAGCAGAAGAGGATATGAATCTTCTCGCATTCATTCCTCCATTGATGTACCACCACATGATGCTTATTACTTTTGTGTGAATTAGCAAGTGAATGGTGATGGGTATGAAGCAAATAGAGTGATCAAGAAAGATATATGAAGAAGGATAGCAGGAAAAGAGTGAGCTTTCAGCCTCCATGGTATTTTCTGATGTTGTTTTCAGTGTCCCCGGCTATTCCAATGTGCTCCTTTGGTTTTCGGGTTTGTCTTCGGTTTCTTGAAAGGAAACAACAAAACAGAGGGCTCCGGGGTTTGACTTCCCCAAGACCCTCAGATTTACACACGCGTCGAAATGTGAAATCTTTGCTTTGCGCGATTGATAATTGAACGATGACCCTTTAAATATGTTTGAACGAGTCGGTGGGACTATTGAGGGAGAGACCAGCCTAGTTAGAGAAATGTCGTCGATTTTCAAATTACATATCCAGGTATCGTAAGTCAATGAATGTATTGACCGGATGGCTTAAGAAGCCCACAGTTCTAATAGCAAGGGGTGTTTGGAAATTTAAAAAAATATTTTTAAAAAAATATTTTTCTATAAATCAACATAAATTTCTCTATATATTTAATTTATATATTATAAAATTATTTTTAAAATTATAGTTTCGATTCTATTCGAACACCCCAGTGTTACTATTTTCTTACCCAAAAAAAAAGTGATTTGGGGAGCTCTTGAATGTTGGCATTGGAAGATAGGACTCTCGTCTCTCGTCATTCCATCATGTGAGTGTGAGGGAAACGTGGACTACTCAAATTCAGTTTGGAGAATTTTTCAAAAATGATAGATTCAAATTCTATATTTAATAAACTACAAAATAGTTTAAATTATAAAAATTAAATTAAAATCTAAATCATTCAAGATCAATTTGGACGGCTTGTATTAATAATGTGCACTCCGTGTTTCTTTATCATCGTGATAAGCATCATGGAATGTTATTTTATATTATTCTATATGTTGGAATTAGAAGTTCATGTTATGATCAAGCTATAAGGAATGGATTATGAACAGAGCAGCCACCGAGAACATTCACAAAACAAGTACCACAACTTCCTGAAAGCCTTTTTGTTAGGTGAAGACTATGACTGTGCTTAACAGTAACTTGCCTACACTCAACGGCCAAAGGGATTGGACACCTTTCCTGTGAGAGCAGGTTTCATCATTTTATGACCCCAAGGTATTGTTTGGTACGAGGAGAGGGAAGAGGAGGGGAAATTTTTTTTAATGAGTTCTATTTAAAAAAATTAGAAAAGTGGGATTTTGAAAATGTTAATAAAGAGAAGAAGTAATATAAAAAATTAATTAAAATTAATTAAAAATTTTTAACCCCACTTTGTCAATTTGTTAAATCAAACTTATTAAAAATTTTTCTTTCCTCCTCTCCTTTTATTTTTTCTTGTACCAAACGGATCCTAAAGGAGGCATCTTCATAGTCAAGTCATACATCAAATTAAATACGTTCCCGAACCGGATCAAGGGTTTGTTGCCTTGCCTTGATTTGTGGGTGAGTCCAACCCCATCTAAAATTTTTCACCAAGTGAAAAAAAAAAGTGACTTGCCTTGTCCAAGTGGGTCAATCTATTGACATGTTTGAAATAGTTTATAAGTAGTTTTTTAATCATGATTTACAGAATACGAAATAAGTATCTGAGAAGAGTTTTTTCTCGGCTTTCGTGAAATGTACTTATAAATTATTTTTATCGATCGCTGTCCCAAACAAGGTCTGAAGCTATGAAATGTAGTTTTTATTTAAATCATGTGCACGTCTATATGGCAGATGATTCATATATAATTCGTGCTTTATTGATACTTGATACAGGAAAAAGAGTAGATTTCATCACATTAAATAACATAGATAGATAAATAAGTAAAAAGTTCCTTGTGGTAATATCTTTTGCTTCATATTTTTCACACTCCATATATCAGTTCACGCTTCTGCAATTGACACGGATCTCGCCTTCATTCCCAGTGAGTGGCTTTATATTTCCCATCTTAACCATGGAAGAAGCAAAGCCCTTGTAGAAATCTAGATGGTTTAGGATGTACTGTTTGACCAGTGCATCAGTAGAACCCCCATTGAAGAGAGCTTGATCAGAGTGAAGAATTCCTTTCTTCTGAACCAAATTCAAAAAGTAAGACCCGTCAAAGATTGCAGGTGTTGAGTCCAACGGTGCTAGGTTGTCGTCACCTCCAGTTCTAGGGCATACACTGTCAATATAGAATAATCGACACATCAAATCAATTAGTGTATCATTTGATTCCCATAAAATGTTGTTTCAGTAGAGTTTGCAAGTAGCCAACTTTAGAAAATGGACTTCTACCTTGTACAGGGCTTGTTTAGAATAGCGTTGGTAAAAGTAACTTTATTTCATATGATGTTTAGAAGTTGAAGTTAGCATCAAAATCTGTTAGTATAATATGATTTATATTCAGATAAGTTTTTGTAAAAAAAAAGTCAAATATGACAAAAATTATTTGAATGATATATTGATGAAAAGTTACTTTTAAAATGTTGAAATTTAAAAAAAGTCAAAATTTAAAAAAAGTCAAAAAAAAAAAAAAACTTCAACTTTAGAGTGATTTTTTAACAAAAAGTTAATTGGCTTTGAAACCATGCTAAACATCCTTTTTTTTCCCATCAAACTTAAATCTGAAGTGTTATTTTCATGCCTAAGAGTCAGTTTGGGATGGCTCCAACGCCAACTGTACTCGAACAAGCCCTTAGTTTAAAAACAGAAAATATACATGAAAAAGCCCGTTTTATTTGTAGACACAAGCCAAAGTAGCTTTTGGCAAATGTTCATTTTGCTAATTGATCTATAAACCAAACATGCATGCATGCACGTACGTACGTGTACTGGAGTCGTGCAGCAAAGAGGGGATCGATGTTGGAGTCGTTGTAGATGCGGTTTCTAAAAGTAACACAGCGGGCGAATCCAATGGTGTGCGCAGCAGATAGAAGAACCAAGTCATTCTGGTCAAGCCCTTGCTTGTTGAAGCTCTCTGTGAGCTGAGCCAAATCCGAAAATGGTGACGGTAGGTTATTGTTTGCATCCACTCGGCTCGCGTTTCTGGAGTCTCTTCTTCCCAGGTTAACCTCCCATCTTGGTCCCCCTAGCTGCAAACACACACACGCATATAATCTGGACGTGAAATATCTATCAGAGAACAATAATAACAAGTCTCATGTTGATAATATTTGAAAATGCAATCACTTACTGCGACGATGGAATCACGAGCTGCAACAGCCAAGATGTCAGCACACGAAACAACATGGCCTCCACATGCTTGGTCCACCTCTTTCTTTATCTCATCAATAACTTCAAATCCTCGAACTGAATTCAAGTTAGGCAGTGCATTCTTCTCGCTGTCAATAGTTGGGGTGGCATCCAAAAGAACAGACCCATCACATCCCTAATCATATATATATATATATATAATGAATCATCACCACCACCGGCCAAAACAAAAGTAACAAACACGAATCTGATATGAGGTTAATAACATTCATAATCTCTAGGATTGAAAGAGTTATTATAAGCTTAATTAATTACATTGACAAAGCAATCATGGAAGTGTAAACGAAGCAAGGAAGCTCCCATTCGAGTCTCCTTCAGAATCGCAGCCGCAACGACTCGTTTGATTGTGTTTAAAGCGTTGGGACATGATTGATCATAGAAATTAGGAGATAGTGGTGTTGTGGAGAAAGCTGGGTTTGTAAAAACTGCTAATACCAACACAAGAAGAACCATGCAGAAATACCCACGTTGTGAGGCCATTTTTGTATATATCAGGCTTTGGTAAGGATCTGTATTTATAGAGGGCTATACGGGGCTTGTTAGGCGGAAAAGAAAACTTCACTATGTGGCACCTACATATAGCTGTGGACAAGGCGCCGAAAAAGACCATTACGTACGGCATTTAGGCACAACTGTATAAGTGAGACTCGCCTAACCTTCATAAGAATCCGTCGTTCAGTTAACACCCACAAATAATACACACATTGTTTGATAGGAGGCAATCTTGCTCAAATAGATACTATCAGGCACTAAATATAGCCATGTAGGTATGTCTCTTGACAAGAATTCGAATATTGGTTTATCAGTTGTGAGGATTAATTTGCTCCTTCCACTAAATCCAACTCCTTTTGATACAATAAGGAATATCAGCCGTCCTTTCTCATCCAAATCTGAGTTCTTTAACCTTCTACAAATTTTAGTTTTACTCTTTAAAGTATAGTAATATGTAATATTATTTTTACACGGCTTATGATGATAATGTGACGACAACAACAATAAGCCTTATCCCACTAGGTGGGATCGGCTATATGAATTACTCGATGCCATCATGCTCTGTCAACAACCCAGTTCTTAGATGTGTTGTTAACCAAGACGTCTCGTTCACTAATCTCATTGAGCGTTCTCCTCGGTCTTCCTCTGCCCCTTTTTATGGGACTCCATATTGTCTGATCTACTCTTCTCACCGGGGCCTCCAATAACCTTCTCTGCACATGTCCAAACCATCTCAAGCGATGTTTAACCATTTTCTCTTGAATAAGCGCCACACCGACTCTTGCTCTGATATTTTCATTTTGAATCTTGTCTTTTCTTGTATGACCACACATCCATCTCAACATCCTCATTTCTGCTACCCTAACTTTGTGCTCTTGTTTACCCTTTATCGTCCAACATTCACTATTGTACAACATAGCTAGTCTTATAGCAGTCCGGTAAAATTTTCTCTTAAATTTCTCAGGTACCTTCTTATCGCAAATAACTCCAGTAGCCTTCCTCCACTTTAGCCAGCCAACTTGTATTATATGAGAAACGTCTCCATCAATTTCACCATCCTCATGTACAATGGATTCTAGGTATTTAAACTTTGATACTTGAGGAATGATTTGATCCCCCATATTCACCTCCAAATCACCATTGTCTTGCTTCCCCTCAAAATTACAATGCATATATTCTGTTTTGTTCCTGCTCAAGCAAAAACCTTTCGACTCCAAAGTCCTTCTCTATAACTCCAATCTAGAGCTAATCTCTTCTTTTGATTTCGCTATGTGGACAATATCATTCGTGAAGAGCATAGACTTGGGGATTTTTTTCTTGAATAAACTTGGTTAGAATGTCCAGAACAATATTAAACAAGTAAGGACTCAAAAAAATCCCTGATGTAGGCCAATCTTAATGGGGAAGTCCTTTGTCTCACCTCCAGGCATTCTTACACTAGTAGTTACCCCCTCATACATATCTTGTATAGCTTTGATATAAGTAACATGTATACCTTTCTTTTCCAAAGCCTTCCAAAGTACTTCTCTTAGTACACGATCATGAGCTTTTTTCAAGTCAATAAAAACCATATGTAAATCCTTTCTTTTACTCCTATATCTCTCAATTAACCCCATTAGTAAATAGATAGCTTTAGTTGTGGATCTCTCCGGCATAAATCCAAATTGGTTCTCCAAAATAGAAGTCTCCAACCTCAACTTATATTCAATCACTTTTTCTTACAATTTCATTGTATGACTCATAAGTTTTATCCTTTTGTAGCTTGCACAGTTTTGAATGTCTTTTTTATTCTTGTAAATAGGAACTAAAATACTTCTCCTAGTCATCCGGCATATTCTTGGAGCATAAAATTTCATTAAAAAGTTTGGTTAGCCATAATTCACCCTCATCGCCTAAATATTTCCAAACCTCAATAGAAATATCATCAGGCCCAATGGCTTTACCATTGTCCATTTTCTTGAGGGTTGCCTTAACCTCTCCAATGTGGATCATGCGGTAAAAAGCCAAATTCCGATCATCTTTGTTAATTAGCAAGTCCTGAGTTGCACATTTGCTTCCCTCATTAAACAACTTGTAAAAGTAAGCCTCCCATCTAACTTTACCATCTTCATCCTTTATACACTTCACTTGGTCCAGATCTCTCTTTTTTTTTTTCTGCCTTTGCTTCGCACATTATGATGATAATGTGACATTTTTTTAATTTTATATGAATATATTGTTACTCTGACATGGTTTGAGAATTCACAAAAAATTACGCTCCGTGGCATTTGTTATGATGGGTGACTGATTATTGCTTTTAATTCTAATTACTTAAAACTGTAATAGAGAAAGAATCCGATATTGTGATGCCAGTATTTTCCGTTTTTCCTTTTTTGGTAACAAGATAAAGTGGATTGGCTACCTAAAATAGGATGTGATGAAAAATGATATATAGGGACAAAGGAGTTAAAACATATTAAATACTAACTTACCTCACCAAATATGTGTTGACCAAGGGGATATCTAAGAATTTAAAGTGCATTTTTATATCTTTAAAATATTAGCAAAAAGCATCGATATTAAACTATTGGTTAAAGTGATGCCGTTCCTCAAATGTTAATAATATCATCCCTTAACTAACAGACATTCATATTCATTGCTGTTTTTATGTTCACGGGTTTAAAAATATGTTTTCTCTTAAAATATTCTTGGTCCAATAACTAATATTTATAATGGAGCAATTTGCACCTTCATTTTTTTTAAAAAAAACTTTTTATATAATTTATTTTAAATAATAACTGAAATTCATTAATCAAGATAGAATTTGCAACTACAAAAAACATTTTTATCTGTTTTATCACCATTCGCTTCCTGTTCAAAAGGAGGAGTATGATTAAAGAAACAAAACTTAACATTAAGCTTATAAAAAAATTTAGCTTACTAAAGTCCTCTATTATGTTTAGAGTATTATATATGTCTTCTTGACTAACTATTCATCAACTTGAGATGTAGCATTGCTCCTCCCGAAATAGTTTAAAGGTAAACACCTCCCTTGACTCTGCCTAAAGCGGCATGAGTTTTAGCACTCATCACAAGATATACAGGCACATGTGAATATGGTAAGATTTGAATAATCTAAATCTAATTTTGACAATTCAAATTCAAATTTTATAATTTTATAATTTTTTCAGTAATAAATATTTTTTCACAAAGTGAAAATTTAAAAAATATTTTTATTTTAAATTATATGTCAATTAAAATAAAAAAATTATTAAAAATAAAAGTGAAAAAAATCAAATTTGTATTATTGAGTTTCAACTTAGACAGTTGAGATTTTATCGATCATTAAAACTCATCCCTATTCAATGGATGATTTATTGGGTAATTAGATTGATTAGGAAATTAACATTTCTATTACCCTTTTTATGGCAAGGGTTGATTTCAAGTTTTCAACTCTCCAATTAGGAGCTATAAAATTAACTCTATATGTGGCTAGCCTGTAAACAGTAAACATTGTTTATCTCAATCCTGGCCTTAGATAACACTTGAATAACAAATGCCATTTTCTTCTTGTTGCTTTCTGCTTAAGCCTTTGAACCAAGCCAGAATTGTTATATCAGTCTTTTAGGCTCTGTTTGGTATGAGCGACATGAAAGAGGAGAAAAAATTTTAATGAGTTTGATTTAAAAAAATTGAAGAAGCGGGTTAAACGCTTTTGATTATTTTTTTTTTACTCTTTTATCTTACATCTTCTTTTTATCAAAATTTTATAACTCTACTTTTACAATTTTTAAAATCGAGCTCATTAAAATTTTCCTTACCCTCCCCTCCAATTTCTTTATACCAAACAAAGCATTAATATTCATCTATAGAATGAAAAGTATTACCTGTTTCCTTTTGTATAAAAATAAATAATTATAAGTGAAAGAAGAAATCGGACTTTAACTTTGTGAAATCTTAATTAACATCAATTTTCACGATTTGTAATTTGCTTCATGTGACAGGAAAAAAATTAAGATGTTAATAAGCGAACGATCCATTGAACCGGTGAAAACATTTCCTCGCAATTTAGTGGTTGAATTAATATATTTTTAATTACACATGGAAAAATTAATTTCAAATAAAAAAAGATCAAAATATTAAATTAAGTACACTATTATAAAAAGTTTATATTTATCATGCTTAAAATAAAAATTTGATAAAAAAAAAAATACCGGAAATATAATGTAATCTCATTGTTAATATAATGAAGGACAACAAGATCAACATAACCCGGTTAAGAAACTGGTAATCTCAATTAAAAACTCAAATCTTTTATTGGTTACGCGACAAGCCATTATATCAATTGATAACTTGGCGGTGAGAGACCAGAAAGAGCATATTCCCACCACAACTGAACTATCTCAAACCTGGCCTTCTGCCGCAATCAGATCCCTTGAGAGCTATTCCAAGTGGCTGTGATGGAGTAAATCCCTGTGCCTCCATTATGTCTGGAGATTTCATTGACTCTGTTCCTAGACCAAGCGAAAAGTAAGGTTTTATATGCTGAAGCAGAGGATGACTTCATCAATGTCTTACTGAGCTTCTTAGCATTGCCCTTGGGGACTATTTCCGGACTCGTTGGTAAAGAATCTACCGTGCATTTCCTCACTGCGTCAGAGTGTGGAAAATTTGAACTTGAGGTACTTTACTTCTGATTGGTATATATAAAGGAAAGTTGCTGAATCCAATCAAGCCAAGTGTAGCAAAATTTAAAGATCTGCTGTATAACTTCGACGATCCACAGATGTCAAATTGCTTTGTTGGCTATCTTCGCAATCCCGCATGTTTTTTTGTCTCAGATGATCTAAGAGTGATGCCTAGTGATCTGAATACAACCTTATGGATACTACGTAGTCTCGGAGTTGAATATGCTCCAGAGAAATTGACTGTGCACGAATGTCACCTAGAAAGAAGTGAACATATTGTATTATTATAGTGATTATATTCATGTGCTTTGAATATTCTAAAAGATTATCTGAACTCTCTTTCAATACTTGAAATGCTTCATGCTTTGTTTGTGTTCGTTGGATCTCCGGAAGTTCTCTTTCTGGTCAGAAACACCATTGACAGATTTGTTCCTGCACAAAAAGCTTCATATTCAGAACTGTCAAACACCATTACAGTTCGAGTTTGAGATGAGTGAGAGTGAGGTTGAAGAGGACGATTGAAAGATAAAGATAATGATATGAAAATCACTGGGTAAGATACTATTTTCTGTAGCAGAAGATGAGTTTTCACGAATCAGATTTTCACTTTTTTAACTGTAACACTAGGTGTGATCGAATGTTTTGATGAAGGCAATGCTGGTTTGGGCTGCATTAACAACTTGTACATGATTTTGATGCATCTAAATATTTTACGTCAAATTCTATTCTGCATTATGCTAAGAGGGGAACAATGTTCATGGTAGCAGATGATTTGTCTGTAACACCATTTTCTTCTTCTTCAGCTTTGTCACTTCTGCGTGAATCCAAAGTTGGTGAAGAAGACTTGGGAAGTAAGGAAAATAAGCATTTGGGTCTGAAGAGGTACTTAAATTCTCTCACTCAATTTCGCTTCGCTCATTCTTCGTCATTCCTCTACTTCTCTCTATGTTGATTCCTTTAGTATGAGAATCTGACTGTTTTATTGTTTTATTTCAGCAGATGAACAATTGATACCAAAACATACAGGATAAGTAGCCATTTATTAAATATCGAAAACGCATGTTACATTGGTGACTTCCAGACCACATACGTAAAGGACTAAACCACCTTGTACATACATAAATATATGATCAGTACAACATTGTTTCTTTTTTGGGGGCAAACTCAAGAATTGAGTGACCGACAACTAGTTCTAATCTGACCACTGGAACCAGTGAGTGGGCTAAGGTTGCTCATCTTAAGCATGGCATTAGCGAAGTCAGAGTTGAAGGTATCAGGATTGTTGCTGTAATCAGTGACCTGAGAGTCAGTGGATCCGCCATTGAAGAGCTGTTGGTCGGAGTGGAAGAGACCCTTCTGAGTCAACAAGTTGGTGAAGTAGGCATTGTCGAAAGAGTTCTGAGAAGTCGTGTCCAGAGCTGCCAGATTATCATCACCACCTGTACTGGGACAATTTGCTTGCAATGATGCTGCAAATGTTGAGTTTATGTTGCTCTCATTGTATATCCTTGTTCTGAAGGTTGTACACCTCGCTTGCCCTATCGTGTGAGATCCTGCAAATCAAAACATGTTATTGGGATCAAGTTATTATCAGACTAAAAACAGACGAACGCTAGATATATTGTTTTGTGCTAGCTAATACTGCCTCCGGTCTTTAATATAAGACCTCATTTAACCTTTATTTTGATCATAAATATAAGACCCAAATCAATTTTGTCTCTCATATTTATTCATTTTTCTTAGATAGTCCTTCTAATAATGATAGTTATAACCAATAAACTTGATTAGTAAGAATATTTTAGGAAAGACAATACCTATTTATTACAAATAACTAACTTGGCTTATTTTCTTAATCTACTCAAATTAGTCAACTAGCTCTTGTATTTAAGATCAGAAGTAATAATTAATAAACTCAATTGAAAATTAAGAAATGGGTGTGGCAACCTGAGAGAGCGACCATTTCTTTGGTGGTGAAGCCCTTGTTGGAGAAAGCAGTGATGAGGCCGCTAAGATCAGAAGTAGGAGCAGGCAAGTCAGAATTTGCATCGCTTAAGCTGGCTGTTGTTGAATCTCTTCTTCCCAACAGCACATCCCAACTTGGTCCTCCTAGCTGCCATTCATTACATTAATTCATCCACCCTTCATTACTAAGTTATATACCATCATTAAATCTTATTTCACTAGCTAACTTAATATTAACGCGCGCCTACCTTCTTTTAAATAAATAGAAGCACAAGAGCTTTTATTAAAAATGTAACAAGTAGTTGTGCTCTCAGTCATATGGATAGCCAGAAGATTTTAATTAGCATAGCACATTTAAATACTCCGGTGATTTATATATGCTGTTTAATAAGTGAAATATTCTGCAGAAAGTTGTACAGGACCCCCTTTATGACACTTATGTCTCTCTTATAATATTATATAGGTTTAGCAGCCTAAAATATTTTCTCAAATGTGTTCGGCACCATAAAGTATTTTTTTAAGCTGTATTCAGCACCAAAAAATATTTTTTTGGTGCATCCAACACATGGCGAAAAAAATACTTTAGGGTATTGGATGCAAATAAGAAAATACTTCGTGGTGCTTGATCCACCTTAACCCTGTTATATATTCTACAAATTTTGCTTAATAATAAAGTCAAATTCCTAATCATTAATCATATATAGCAGTTTTCCTGTATCTTTCCATATTGTCTAAAAATCTCAGTGCATGAAAACATATAAAAACTACTCTTCTTATTGTTAGTACAAAAAGTACGTACTTAGTTAGTCTGTTAAGATTAAGAAAACTAAACAAATTACTTAATTTTAACAAATGTAACATGATCTTTCCGAGATATTGTTGGTTCCTGTGTAACATTCCATTATGTATCAGTTTATATATAGATTTTCTTCTTTTTTGAGTAGGATGGTATCGCTGCCTCAGGGTATCCCAGCACAACCGGTCAGACTAATCCCAGGTGCACTCGCAGGTATCGAGCCCATGACATGGTAGGGAAGGCGTCTTGCGTTCCCGTTTGCGACCAGTCGGACCTGATCCTTGCAAGCTATATAGATTTTCTTCTAATCTAATTAATAATACTCACAGCAACAACAGAGTCACGAGCAGCAGCAGCTACAATATCGGCACAGGAGACAACACCAGGGCAGATGGCTTCCAATTGAGTTTTGATAGTGTCTACGACATCGAAACCTCGAAGCGAATTAACGTTTGGAAAAGCTGTCTTTTCACCTGTGAAGCTCGATGTGTCGTCTAATAACACTGATGCATCACATCCCTGTCACATATACATACATATATAAACAATGCATTGGTCACAAGTTAATATGAATATACATGTATCAACTTCTTAGAATTATTGTAATTTAACTAATTGATTAAAAAAAGGAATTTAATTATTTGCCGGAAAGATTACTATCTCGTTAATTATTAGCTGGATATCCGTGCATATATGACTAGAACGTTTTAGAGAAAGTGACGTACAATAATGACTCTTATATTCTATGGACATTATTGTATAAGTTCTATGAAAGATGAAGTCATAATAAATTATATGAATGATAGTAATATAAATCTATCTTTCCTTTGGGATGACGTGCTCATTGATTTTGCTCTCTATTTAAATAATGCCACAGCAAATAGGTTAATAATAAGATAGGTAAGTTTTGCAACAAAAAAATATTAGATAAATTAGATCAGATTTAATTAAACCTTCTGGTAAAGATAGCGTGATTTGTTTTTTATTTCATGCATTGGACGTAGCTAGTTCTCTTTCTGCATGGATTGACACCAGAATCACAATATTATGTATCAAAATATTCCATAGTTTCAACATGTCACCGTTTGTTATCTTATTATAAGCTACAGCGAATTGTTTTTCAACTATTTTATACACCTGTAACTTGACTAAACCTGAAATAAAATAGCATATAAAACAAAGGGTCTATATATACATATATATTGTGAATCAAAATATTCTATAGTTTTAGTACCAGGAAGATAATGAAATTAATTCTTATATGAAATGAACGTCTGGGAAAGTGCTAAACAATAACTTATCGTGTGTGAGAGTATGCATCTAAGTAGTAAATATTTAGACTAGTTAAATATCAGATAGATTGGATGATTTTAACCTATAGTTTTTTATAAGAGAAAAATGAATAGGTAATTGAGCAGCTAGCCAGTATAGAACATATGGAAATAATAAAAGAAGTGAAAGAGAACTTGCTTGAACAAAGCAATCATGGAAATGAAGACGAAGCAAGGACGCCCCCATGCGTTTCTCAGAGTTCACAGCAGACTCTACTGCAGCCTTAATGGTAGCAGAAGCATTAGGGCATGAAGAAGCATAAAAATCAGATGTTAATTGAGCTGACACCATCCCCACAAACACTGAAATTAGCCAAAAGCTAATTTTCATGCCAGAAAAAGTGATTAATAATGGAGAGTAAGAACCAGCAGCCATGGCTGTTCTGTAATAAGAATAACACTAAAAGGAAGTTGCAGAAGAAGAAGAAGAGGAAGACAGTAGTGGAGGAGCTTGTGGTTAGAACTGCAAGAAGTATCTCATATTTATACTGTAAAAATGGCTCTCTATAAGAGTGGACTTTGATTTGTTCTTCGAAGTTATCTAAGCAAAGTTAAAGCCTGTCATATTCATGCATGATGATGAGTTCAACGTTCAGTATGATAAGAAACTGTTAATTATTTGTTCCCCATCATCGAAATGAGCAAAGAAAATTTTAAATTGGCGTTTGAATGTAGGAAATCAAAGGAGACCGGGGGATGGCGGTGATGTGCGAATTTAATTAATGATTTGATTTATAGCTGTATTTTTGCCGAACATAATTGACTGGTCAGAAAATCTTCTGTTCTTGATTGAATCCTTAGCCTACACGGTGACCCCCCCAATCCCACAACCATGTCCAAAATAATAACTTTAATGTCTTATTTTATACTGTTTCAAAGATTGTGAGAGATTTGAGAGTGTGTGTATATATTTTAAATTTTCTTTTTTCTTTTTGCCAATTATATTTTGAATTCATCGAAATTCGTAAGTAGAGAAAGAAGTGTGAAAGGAGCCCACATGCCGCGCACACCACAATTAATTAACGACTTCTTCTATTGCTCTGGTTTAAGTGTGATGTTAGGAAATAGATTAATTTAATCTATTTCCTCACAATTATATATAGTGGACTGCAAGCTTGATTGCTTTATATTTAATTTTTTTAACGTGCTAAATAATAACAATTTCACAACTTTTTGTGAGGTTTATCTATCCTTGCTTAATGCTTACTTAACTAAGCTATCCCATAATTACTTTTAAATTCGTTCAGGAACATATGGAGAAAAGCTTTCAAATTCTTTTATAACTGTCGCTTTCCTTATCATGTGTATTATATATAATTACTAATTTTGATGTCTATAAGGGAAAGGACAATGAGAAAAAGAAACCGACCAAAAAAATATTGATGATAGATTTGATACGATTGAGGACCACATAATTGAGTTGGGCGAACGTAACAATATTATTACTCAACCAATAGTTTTGTAGTCTACTAGAAGGAAAACTCTTTCCGTAAGTGGGACATCATGTGTTCAATTCTGTTTATAATATCAAGTTGTTAGTGTTTGTCTCTTTAAATAAAAAAAGATACAATTACCTCTGATCCTCAATGTAGAGATCTATTTTATAATGCAATATATACTGTAAAGTTGATCTTATATTAAGGATCAAAGATAGTATTAATCAAATTTTCACACTTGACTCTGGCATATATATCATCATTAAGCAAGCGATGCTTATGTGTATTCATGACTCATGAGAGGAGGAATGTGAACGAAGGAATAAATAGCAATTTGAATAAGTCGTAATTTACAAGCGGAATATTCTAAAGGGACTGCAAATGATTGTCCAGATCTTGTCGTTAAATAATGCTCCAATGATAAGATGTTTTATATTCCTCCGGTTATTAATATAAGAATTAATTAGTGAGTTGATGTTAATTCTATATATAAACCTATTTTACATGTTTATTAATTTTTTTCTAAATTAATTCTATTGATATTCCCCCAATAATAATCAAGTAGAAGAGGGGGAGAGAGAATTAAAAAAAATACTTAGGGTACTTTAGAAAAAATATATCATATTAACTAATTTAACTAACATCTTTAATCTACTCAAGTTAGTTAATTGGGTCTTATATTAAGGACAGAGGATTATTAAAAAAAGGATTAATATGCCAAAAGGCAAAGGCTTCTATGAAAAATACACATATGTATTGTAGTATTTAATTGTTTGATTTCGTCCTACACAAATACTCATTCGGTCCTAATATAATACTCATTTTGTAGTATATATAAGGGTATTATATTTAGAACCGGATGAGTATATATATACTTGTATAAATATTTAATCATTCTTGGAATGTTCATTATGATCTGATAATAACAAATAATTAATATTGCCATACGTAATAAAAATTAAAATTTCTAACAAATCACACAATCCAATAATCATGAACAGTACGGACTCAGATTCAGACTCAATATTATTAAGAAAAATAAAAACTGGGAACATGGAAAGCGCGTGTGGGTACAAGAGCTCGTTAGCCGGACCCAACAAGCTGGGACCTAACGCGTTAGTAAAGACGCGCACTTGACCCGTCTGCACTGCTGAATTATTTTTCCCCGAAAAAAAAAATTATTAGACATTTGGGAAATGACAAAAAAAAAAAACCAAAAATCGCAAATCAGCTATTCTTACAAAAATGTATGCATTGTTATTTGCAAGTTAAATGTTGTCGAAACCTATCAAAAAAAATTGCTTATCCTTTCGTTCACTCATATTTCAGTGACATTGTCATTTTTCAGATGTCCACTCGCTACTTTAATTTTTCTTTTTCAGGTCATTATCTATGTACAGAACTGCTGTTTTATTATTTTCCCCTTTCCTTGAACTCCACTACCTCCGCTCTTAATTATAAGACCTCGTTTATAGATTACAAACGATGAGTAATATACCAACTTTGCTTTGTTCAGGCAATATTTTGTGCATACTTATTACAGCTCAGACCCTCTTAACCTGATCGAAAGTTGCCTAACATTCTCAGTTGTGTGAGGCGATCGAGACAAGTCTTATTCGACCAAAATCAATACTTATATTCTGCTTTCTAAACATTCTTAATTACTACTTTTTCTATTGCGTCCTTAATATAAAAATTAGTAAAATAATTTGGGTAGATTAAAATATATGTAGCTTGTGAACTTCAATTTCCAAGCGCAGGTTGTAAGAACATGGAATGCCACTAATTTCGCCATGGCCATCATATACTTCCCTACCTGGCTTCAAACGTATAAGGATGGCTTCTAGAATCGCCACTAATATTAAAATCATATAGAAAAAATTAATGATTAATCCCTGCCTTTAATTCTACTTCTTGATGCATGTCCAAACAGAGGGGCTTGACTTCCTCCCCTCTACCTTTCCCATTCACTTCCCTTCCCTTCCACCACCCGTCTTCATCGTTAAATTGAATATTTTTTAAAATTGCTTTTGAATTACTACTTTTTATTGCAGTTTTAAACTGCATGATTGAAAATTAGTATATTGAATGTATTTATTTATTAGTAATTTAACATTTTGTTGGTAATTTTATTTGATTTGGATCACTCAAATTTCAATCCAATGATCAATATGGGTAGTGGACGAGAACGGATGAGAAAAGTAGACAAAAGAAGCCAAATTATGGGAAAATGGCTTAACGTATCGAGGTGATCTCTTTTTACTTGTGGAGTCGTGGTTGGTTTTACTCGAATTTCATCTCCTGACATTGTAAAATACCGGTCTTGATAGCTCAAAACTGCCAATTAAATTTTAAGAATAATGGAACTCATCCCTTTTTGTTTTAGTTAGTTGATGATCTTTACAGTTTTTAATTCGATTAGTTCAATTTTAGACTGAACATTTGCTGAAAGTACGTAGACCAATTTACTAATTCAACATATTGAATTTCAGGAATTGAGTTATAATTCAGCTAAACTATTACTTTCTGTCCTAAATATAAAATTTATTTTGTGGTGTAATTTGCATTAAAAAGTAGTGGATCGACCAAAGGTATTATTTTGTAGTTCCCCATATCAATGCTGGTTTTTTCCCCAATGTCAATGGTTTTAGAAAGTAAAAACTTTCACTTGTTACACTGAAAATGCCGTTTTAGAGTTATGTGTGATAGATGGTCTAATAATAACGCGGTCAGCGACATGAACATTACTTTAGCAATTAAGTTTTTATATATAAGAAAAACTTTCACTTAGCTTGTTATGCCTTTTGTTGTATATATTGTTGAGCTATTTTAGATTATCTTTCATGTGTACACACACACAAACACACGCTTTTGTTTTTGTGTTTCTCAATTCCTGTATTTCTGTTTTGCAAGTCTTAAAAATTTGTCTAAAAGTATAAGAAGTGAGTCACCATATGTAATAATTTTTCCTTCGATCATATTGAAAATAAGAAGCAAGAATATATATGAAAGAAAAATTAATCATATATTCATGCATGAAAATGTAGTCCATTTAAAAAAAAAAAAAAGGTGTAGTCCATAAACACTTGATTCATTTTTTCGGACTTTGAACACCTTATAATACAAACAATACATTTAACAACAATCTATAGAACTTAAACCCATCACACCCTTCTGAAACCAATGAACTGCGTCAAATCTAATATTCAGATTAACTTGATTACTTTTATTCCTTGACTATAGCATTGCACATTTTAACTGGGTCCTGAATATAATCTTTTTTTTTTTTGGGGCCATAGCTGAATATAATCAATTGACTTTCCTACAATTGGTCCTAATCTGACCGTTGGATCCTGTGAGGGGGCTGAGGTTTCCCATTTTGACCATAGCATTGGCAAAGTCAACTCTGAAACTCCCAAGGTTTCTGCTATAAGCAGTGACCTGAGAATCTGTGGATCCTCCATTGAAGAGCTGCTGGTCAGAATGCAACAAACCCTTCTTGCTCAACAAGTTCTTGAAGTATGCATTGTCGAACAAGTTGGGAGTTGTCGTGTCGAAATTCGCCAAGTTTGAGTCACCACCGACGCTCGGACAATTTCCTTGTAAGGTTTTTGCGAACGTGGAATCGATGTTGGTGTCGTTGTAAATCCTCGTTCTAAAGTTGGTACACTGTGATTTCCCTATCGTGTGAGCTCCTAAACAATAATACATCAAAAGGTTTACAGTGACGGTAACTGATTAATTAATGATATATATTTGAATTAATTAATTACCTGAGAGTGCAACCATTTCTTCAGCCGTGAAACCCTTCTTAGCGAAAGCAGCGATAAGAGCATTAAGATCTAAAAAGGGAGCTGGCAAATCCGAGTTAGCAGAACTTAAACTTGCCGAAGTTGAATCTCTTCTTCCCAACGGTACCCTCCATGTGGGCCCACCTAGCTGAGAACAAATTTTTCATGTGTCAATGTCTGGTCTTGTATATATAAATATGTACGGGTGTGTGTGTGTCAGAAGAAATTCTTGAGATGATCATATTAGTATGATCGATGGATGTCCAGCTACTTACAGCAAAAACAGAGTCTCTGGCGGCAACAGCGACGATATCGGCGCAGGAGACAACTCCGGGGCATAAAATCTCGAGCTTCGATTTGATGGAATCGATTACTTCGTAACCTCGGAGAGAGTTAACATTTGGAAAGGCTGTCTTCTCGCCTGTGAAAGTTGCAGTATCATCTAAAAGTATAGATGCATCACATCCCTGCAGAAGCACAACAAGGAAATGAAAAGTCAATACTGTATCAAGAATTGTTTGTATGCATCTTGATCCTTAATATGCATAATAACCCAACAAATGGGATATTATACATGCACACAGAAAGGTAGATATGTACATATATATATATATATGCATAGAGAGAGAAAGAGAGTTATATAGACTTGCTTGAACGAAGCAATCATGGAAGTGAAGACGAAGAAGGGATGCGCCCATGCGAGCCTCTTTAAGGACAGCAGAGATTACTGATGCTTTAATGGTGGCAAGGGCCAAGGGACATGTTTTGGCGTAAAAGGTAGGAGACAACTGAGCTGAAACATTAATCCCACCAATAACACAACACAACAACAACAAAAGGCTGAGTTTGAGATTAAGAGCAGACATTATTATATGGCTGTGTCTTGTCTAAAAACAAAATATTGCAGAGAATTTCAGAAGAGATATATAACTAGCTAGCTTTGTAGTAAGTAGCAATAATAGTTGTTATGGTTTTAAAGAAGACGAGTGATTATGTATTTATAGAGAGAAGGTATAGCCGTGTCATATTCAGAGGGTCAACATGGATGAGCCCCAAATGATTAAACAAACCATATTTGAATATTGAATAATTAATAAGCAAGCAAGCAGGCTGTGTGGACCAGATCTCTGCTCAAGGCTTTATCTGATTGAAAATTGAGTTTTATATTTATTAATGTGAGGCTATTAGCTGTATTTGTGCTATGCATTTATATATGTCATTGACTTCTTGAATATCTGCTCTCTTCTATATGTATCGCCACCTCCTTTTCCAATTGGTGATTAGATATGGAAGAAATCAAAATCTTAAATTTTTTGCCCATTTGTATTTGTCCTGAATATTAATTTTTAATATATATGTCAAACTCAGTTTACTGGATTAAGCTTTGACATTATTTCTTTCTAACTTTATTCCCAACACTAAATTTCTTGGTTAATTATATCTTTCTCCGAGTTATGAGAACTTAAATAAGTGAAGAAATATGATTACATATTAGTAAAATAAAAGTACAGGGCATTAGTATATATGGGCTTGATAGTCCCCCCTATATTATATTGAATTCATAGACTTCTCAACAATAATTAATCTACCATAATCAAGGATTAAAGAAAACAAGAAAATGTTATACCTATTATTTAATCAATCAATTACTGTCCTTAATTTGTATTGACTGTAATGTCCAGTGCAACAATTTAAATGCCATTTTTTTACTTGTGATGACACTGTGAAAAATAAGCGTATACGGGATGAATAAGATGAAAGATGATTTTTTTTTTTAAATGGAATGTCTGGTTATTTATACTAAAAAAGAAATTGTTAAAAAAATTTGACCCAGTTTCAATCATAAATGAATTTCATGACATGAAAGACATCATACTCGACTTCAATAAATTGTATTATGAAGGTATGTTATATTATTTAAAAATTTATATTTATATAAATAAATATGCTTGTGTTTTATGTTTTAAGTTCACCACCCAAAGTAAAATATTAAGCATCCGTCCCAGCCTGCAATAACAGAATCTGTGCGTTTTCAATTATATAACTTCGTTTAAGTAAATTCACATAAGCCAAATTACATCAACTTACATATAGCAAGTGCGCTCATATCTTTATCATATATATTTTTATCATTAAAATTAAAACAAAAGGGCCAAAGTTGACTCATAACCTATAAAATTGAGTGTTTAAATTCTACTATTAATGGGAGAGCCTTGTTATTAGGCTATTTGTAAGTATCTTTTTAAGCTCTCTTTAAACTTAGAAGCATACCCTGATTCTGATGAGTCATCGGGACCCAACACCTCTAAACTTTTTTTAATAAAAATATTAAAACAAGAAGACTTGAAAGCATCTGTTATTATATATAAATATTAAATAAATGCGTTGACTTTTTTAAAACTCAGGTCGATGATGAGCTTAGAACAAGTCAGCCCAAGATTAACCTATCCTTGATTAATTTCCATCCTAATTAAATATTGTTGTCACTTGCACCGCAACATGAATATACCAAACTATCTATTTTCAAATGCAATTAACACTTCTTACACAGTTGCCTCAAATTCGAGCCCCTTCCTTGAAAATTGTACATATAGCAAATAATCAAATTTTAATATATAATTAAACAGCATTTTATTTTATAATCTCCACATTAAGTATACATTAAGTCACTGATGGCTTATTTTGGTACGCTGGAACTGAAAACAGGAAAGAAAAAAATTGAAATTTCTTAATATGATGTCCTCATGGGAAGGCACTCAATACCTTTCCCTTGGTTAAAAGCAATCTCAGCGATCACCTTGATGATTAAAATCAATATTAATTAGCTGTTAATTCCTCCATTAAACTAGGCATGCTGTTAATTAGGGATTTCAACTGCAAAATAAATATAATGTTAATTTCTGAGTGTTCATAAATAAACAAAAAGTAAAAAATTTTTAAAGATAACACCAATCTTTCCAGTCGAAAAGCACTTGATGCTTTCTAAAACTGGAAAGTATCACATGATACAGTCCGTCGAAAGAATTTTATGGTGGCCTCATCCAATCACACATCTTTATTATCTTTATCACACACACATTAAAGGGGGGAAAAAGCATTCAATAATACTCCTTCCATTATAAGATATATTTTTTCAGAAGACTATCAACTAATTGTAAGCACTTTTCTTAATCTTTCCTTATTTAATTAAAAATGTTTTATAAATAGAAATCAGAGGGAAAAAATAGTATCAAGTTGCATATATACCTCTTTAATTTTGAATTTTATGCATCAATAATCACATTGAACTTTAAAACTTTGACAGTATAAAGGAATTTATTATGAATTTTCAAAAAGTCAATGACATTATTCGCAAATAGCTCAAAATTTAGGATTTTTTTTGGGTACAATTTGCCTCATAATACATATATTAAAGGAAAAAAAAGATTAAAAAAAGTATCTTATATATACTCCTTTGGTCTTATATTTACATTACAAAATGGGTCTTATATTTAAGATAAGAGAAGTATAAGAGAATATCTGAATTCTCGAATGTGCTTTTTGCAGCTTCTTTCCATTTTTCATTTCTTTGTTAATTCACTTTTGTAATAATTAAAGAACTGGTATTTTGTTGGACTTTGAAATCATTTGTTGGGAACACATGCGAGTATCTAATAATTTAAAGCATTGATTATGGACATACATATTCTATATACTTCAAATAAGGTTTATATGTGTTTAGGATGGAGAGAGTAATAATTTTAAAATCTTTAAATTTTCATGAGAGTTTTAATTTCTAAATTTAAGATTTTTCCATATATAATTAACTTAAATTTATTTTTGCAAGTAGCCGGATGTCATTTTCCTGAATTTTAATTCCCTCTGGATTGCATTTTTTCTAAGTTGCGTGATCTATAGCACCGTTTACTTAACGAATTGAATAACGCGTAAATGAGCAGACAAGAAAACAAATAAGACACTGTTTACAGATTTTAAAAGAGTACAAGACAAGAAAACCCCAACCCTACTTATCCAGTCACCCATAAAAGCTTTTGACCAATATCTCCATTCCTTTTTTGTTCTTTTTGATTATTCCATTTATGACCAACTTTTGAAGCCACGTTTGGTTACTATCAGTAGCAGCTAGTTGGAAATTAAATTCAATTTTAAATATAAAGTTTTAATTTAATTAATTTAATTTCTTTTAAAATATTTTTAAATATTCATCTTAATTGTAAGATATTCTCATTTTAAGGGATAATTTCAATGCATATGATTAAAGAAGATAATTTAAGGAGACTAACACATATTTATGACAAATAACTAATTTAACTAATTTGTTTAATATCTTCATGTTATTTATCTGGCTGTTATATATATTAGGAACCGAAGGTAACATATTCTATTCTTAAGATTACAGCTTAATATATATCAACATATATAAAATAATTAATAAAAAAAAGCTACATCATTATATTCATTAACATTGAACAGTGTCATATTATTGGCTGAATGAATACTTTGAATGATTGAACGTTAAGTAGAATAGTTTTGTTATACTTGTCCAGAATCAATGTAATTAAGATAAATCGTATTTTTCAAAACTTACAGACAATGCAATTATATATGTACTAGTAATTAAATAGAGTAATATTACGCTGGACGTCTAGCGTTATTGGGTGAAGAGACTACAGCCAAGTCAGCCACTTGTATCATAGTCGTAATGAGGTGCAATAATTGATAATTAGGTTTATCTTATTAGTGGGAAAGGAACATTTCTACGTTCGACGAAAAATGAAAAATTCTCTATGTATCATGGAAGTGCACCGAAACTTCCTTGGCAACCACATGATGTCCTGTTCAAGAAAACAAAACTAGCAGGACCACGTATCAAAAATCAAAATATCCAATTATCCATGCCCCCAATCTATACAGGGGAGGGGTGTTAAAAGTTTTAAAATTAGAGTCCATGCAACAAATCTGACAAATAAATCAATCAATATATTTAGTGGGAAAAATTAGTCTTCCAATTTCCACGTAGTCTCATTCATGGACAGTCATATATACCATTCCTGTCTTTAATATAAATCACTTATAACACATTCTTACACATCAAAGAATGCATTAAATTGACAATTTTTTTTAATTTTGTTCTTAGTAAAAGGGTAAAGTTAGAAAATAAGTATTTCCTCCGGTCCTAAATATAAGACTCATTTTGTAATGTAAATTACACTATAAAATAGGTCTTATATTGGAACTGGAGGAGTATAAAATATAATACAAGTGACTTAATCAAGTCTTCTCCCTATTTAGATTTAAAACCAAAGTGGTAGTTTAGATCCTACGTGCCACTCACACTCGCCGTCAATAATAGGGACACCCCTTCATCATATCCTCCATTGATTATTCTCAAACATTGACTTGATAAATTGAATTTTAATATTGCTTGATATATATATATATATATATATATATATAAAGCGATTGTTAAGTTCGCATTATAAAAAATTATTACGTAAACACAAGTCATAACGATTAAATCATCATCCACAATCTCCGCTCAAGTAAGCTACCACATTGTAAAAGTAGACATATTTATGTTCCTTTGGGGGCTAGTGTCGGTTTTATTGACTTATTACTATAATGGCCGTATTTTTTTGACATTCAAAAGCAAGACGAATCTGTATATCCTTTTTTCCTTTTGCCAGCACGAATCTATATATCTAATGTAATAAAATGTGAATGGGATATAGGAATCTGACTTATAATGCGTTTGCATATGGGTTGTGAATAATGCTATGATCTGATATATCCGGCTTGTTTTAGGCTCCAGATTTACATGTTTTGCGGCATTATCCTAGGTTCTTCTTACCATTTCTTTATTATTACTTCCATGCTATCTTTACAAATTAAAGTTTCCAAAGTAAACTTAATTTCTACATAAATTAACCTAAAAAATGTTGTGCTGTAGTTCTCCCACCATCA